CTCCACTGATTAAGTTTGTATTGTATGTAGCTAGCTATTAAAGCCAAGCATTTACGGTCCTTCCAGTTTTGCAGCATAATTTCTGAAGCAATAGCTTCAAATGGAGCCCTTTGCTGCAGTGGAATAACCTGATTTGTACAAATATTTTAGCAAAAAATCCGGGCTATTCTGATTTCTGTGTGGCTTCTCTCCCCTCCTAAGAATAATTGCAGCAGATCCTCCAAGGCACAGGATAAACACGGTGGTTTCATTTCATTATAACAAAGTATAGATTTTTCACTGCTGTGTCACCAGGTCGCCCGCTCGCCTTTGTCTCTGGAAGATTTTGTTTTCATCATTTTACCACCATATTTATGTAGAAATGTGCTGGACAGCTGAGGGGATTTTGCTGTCTCTAACATTTCCTGTTCTGTTGTTTAATTAGTCATTTTCTGAAAAGAACGTTACTTAACTTAAGAAGTTTCCTGCACACGAGAGAAAATGAAATCCAAGTGGTCCAAACAGACCAACATGGCTCTGCAAGCATCATTCCTTGCATGTTTCAGGTGAAACAAGGATTTGGATAGGGAATCAGTTTTGATTGTTGGTGGCATTTTCATCAAAGTGCTGGATCCAATGCAATGATCTGAGTACAGAAACCTGTCCCCTGGTTATCACCCAACACCCATTCCTACATCTGCTCAAGCTATAGATGTCTCTGTTCATTGTAGGGAGGTCAAACCAGACGGACTTTTAGGGTTCCTTCCAAGTCCAAACCATTCTATGGTTCTATGGTCTTCCAATCAGAGGATGATGTTGAAGGACCTTCACCAGCCAGCAGCATGATGTTGGGAAGTCACAGATAATGTTTGGCTCCATACAAATCCAAGGGACTCGTTGACACAAAGGACCAGCTCTCGGAAGACACCTGAAGGTTGCTCATATCAGGTTCCTGTTTGCTTCCCTTTGTGGATGCAGGCTGTACATTAAGGCAATGAAAGAAATGGTTCAGCACAAGCATTAGGACCCTCTGGAGGTTGATGTGGGGGGGAAATGTTGTGTTCATTAAAGACATTCCCTACTCAGGAAGAAGGAAGACAGGCTGATGTCTACAAAGCACAGACAAAAGCTATGGGCCAAAACCACTACAGTAAGAGCACTAGCAGGAGGAAGCTGGATCAGGGTGCGTCCCCACAGCATGGTCACACACAGGAGAGATGTGAGGGCATCGCTTCAGCTGAGCACCTCAATACTGATAAGAAAACATGATGTGGGACCTGATGTGCTGGGTGTCTTCAGCTCCACCGCCAGCCACCAGTGGCCAGATGTGCTTGATCCCGCCTGTTCCTTCCCTGACCAACATCAACCTGGAAGATCCTTTGCTAGCATAGAATCACAGAACCATTCAGGTTGGAAAAGACCTCTAAGATAATCCAGTCCAACCATCAAACCATCCCCACCAAGACATGTCCCTCAACCATACCCCCTGTGGGGCTGCATTCCCCACTCCCACCCCGCTCAGCTGAGCATGCCTTCCCAACAGCTCCTGCACCGGGGGACGAAGCCCTGGTGCTCCCAAATGCCTGGAGGTATAATAAGCACTGAAGAGGAGTCAGTCGCGGTGTTATGTATCCAACCAGCCTGCAATCTCATTTTCTCCCTGGGCTGGGTGAGTAGGGCAAAGGTTGCAGTCGCTGGCTGTCACTCCGGTGCTGCCTTGCTGTGTGTGCACCGGTGTGTGCACGCATTGCCCAGCACCTGGATTGAGGTTTGTTTCAGCAGTGCTGCAGACAGCCTGTTTGGTTTGGACAAGGCTGGGGGAGTGCTGAAGCTAGTCAGTATATAATCTAAACCCTGGATTCTGCAATCACAGAATAATTAAGGTTGGAAAAGTCTTCTACAATCAGTAACTCCACCTATCACCAATACTGCCCACTCTACTGTGAAGATAGCACAAGCCAGGGGACAACTCAGCCCCAGCCCCACAATAAAGGATGCCTATGGCTGGTGGAAACCTTGGCTCTTCCACAATGGTTCGGGCTGAACACACCCCATTCAGGGATGCTCTTCAGCTCCCGCTCACAGACTGACCATAGGCACTCACGTTCCTTTATCCCAGGGAAATTTTCACAGTGTGTTCAGAGGCAACGTCCAAAAGCAAAGACTGTGGATCCCTATGCCTCTTCCAATGCCACACCTGAGAATATACAGAGAGGAGTGAGTCTCCCAGCCTTGGCGCTGGCTTTTAGGTGATGGCACAGCAGATCTGTTAGGACTGAATGCCTGCATCTGTGGCTTGTGAAAACTCACCCAAATAAACGCACACCCACCAGCACGCCTGCTGAAGTGCTCTGCGACCCACACGGCTGAGGAAAACCCACCTTTGCACGCCGTGATTCTCTTCTGACCGCCGTCCCCTATTTAGCACACCTCCACCAACCAGGTGAGCACGGCTTACTTTCCGTTTATAATGCACTGGACACAGTTCTTTTGTCAAAGCAATTTTCATTTGGTAAAGCTGCTTCTGTTTGTGAGCTGCGCTCGTATACAGCACCTTCCCTGAGCAGTCATCAGAGCAGCTCTGAAATGTTTGGATAGTTTGAAATAAATTTCATCAGAAAAACCACAAGTTTCTATAAAGGAGCACAATTGTCCTGTGTTTTCTGGTTTGGAGGCTCTCAGAACAGCTTCTCCTTTCTCCAGGACAGGATTAATACATGTACTGTTGCTAAGTGTCTGATATTTATGTTCCATTCAGTTCAAAACAGAATTTGTTTCTATTCAGTGCAAACCCCTGCAGCCTCACTTGCAGCTTTGCCTCAGCCTTTCTCACAGCCCTTCTCCCCATCACGTGGCTGAGACCACTGCAGCTGCCATGCATGCACTTCTCCAGCCTTAATGATTCTATCAGGGACGTGGTGTAGTGGGCAGTACTGGCTGTAGGTGGACAGTTGGAAGGGATGATATTGGTGGTCTTTTCCAGCCTTAACAATTCCAGGACTTTCAGTCCCACCTGATAAGCCCCAGGAGCATCAGAATGTCCAGAGAGTGGTTTGGTGGTTGGATTTGATGGTCTTGGAGGTCTTTTCCAGCCTGAATGATTCTATGATTCCATTAGGGACATGATTTAGTGGGCAGTATTGGACTTGATGATTTTAGTGGTCTTTTCCAACCTTCATGATTCTGTGAGCAGGAATAGTGGGGACTGGAGGTTGGACTGAATGATCTTTGTAGGGGAATGATGCACTGGAGACTAAACACACAGTATTATTGTGCACTGACACGGCTCCATCCAGACACGTGGCCCTCCATCCTCCCCTACCCATCCACCCCTCATTTAGATTTTGCCTTCCTGATGACTTCACTCAACACTTGCAGTGATTAGAAGCAAGAGAAAGGCCACAGCTTTGCCGTGCCCGATGAGCCAGATTAATCAGCTCCAGTTGCAGTGAATTACCTGCTCGGGGCTCACAGCAACAACCTCCAATTCACAGCCCACCAGCCCGCATCCCACTTCCAACCGGGATAATCAGCAAGAACACGACGGCAGATGAATGACTGGGCGAGGGTGGGCTGCAGGCTGTCAGGAGCTGGAAAATACGTCAAAGCACTTTGAAATTAAATCCTCGCTTTGACAGGGAACTAATGCAGAGATTTTAAAGTAGGTGTAATACACTTAGACAGGCATGTGTGCAGCACAGCGCGAGTTGCCGTGCTTTGGTTAAGCGTGTTCCAGCCTTGCTGTGAGCAGGAAAATGGAGTTGAAAAGACAAAGGGAATTTTGAATAGCTCCAAACCAGCTTGGCAAGATTTTAGAGATGGGAGCAAGAGGTTTTAGTAATGGACCTAACTAATAACATTGACAGGAGGAGATTTGGTGTGCTTGGGATCTTAGGTTTCATGCCAGGCAGCCGTCTTGTGTCATCTCGTGTTGCTCCTGGCTTTACATCGAGTTGTTTGTGTCCATGTGGGCTGGGGAGGGAAGATGGAGACATGGGGATAGGAAGAAGAAGGGCATTGCCACTGCACCCCATGGCCTCAGGGATGGGGATGCAGGGATGGGGAACCAAGCTGCTGGGAGCTACTGAGGTCCCCAACATTCTGTCTTTCTGGATAACCTGAGGTGTGGATTCAGTCCTTGCTTTGTGGTCAGCTGTCATCCTCCATGTGCACCAAAGCACCCTGGTGCCACCACGGGGTCTATGGCCCTGCCTTGCTGCCTGCTCCTGCTGCTATGCCTGGTGATGGAAATCCTAACCCATGACCCTCTCCCAGAACACTGCCAACACCAGAAGCTGCCTTTTTGTCCTGAACCCTCCAAAAACAGAATCTGGAAAATTCCCTAAAATGGAACGAGAGAGAACGCCATCTCCACAATTTTTACCAGCTAGAGCAGGTTGCCCAGAGAGGTGGTGGTTCTCTGCCCCCACAGACACCCAAGGTCAGGTTGGAGGGGCTCTGAGCACTGATGGAGCTGTGGGTGCCCCTGCTCAGTGCAGGGGGTTGGACCAGATGGCTTTTAGCGTCCCTTCAAACTCAGACCATTCTATGATTCTAAGATGGAAAACCAAGGCACCGCCACGCTCCCTCCCGAGCTCTGTTCTCAGAGCCGCATGGAAACCATCCCGACAGCACGAAATGTGTAGGAATCCCCATTCCTCCGCTGTTCACCCCCAGGAAAACCCGAGGTGGGGAACCCCAAAGGCCATCACAAAGCGCCTCGGAAGCAGCGGAGGGGCAGCACCGCGGGCACAGCGCAGCGATGGGAGCGGCACCGGTGCCGTCCCCGCTGCCGTCCCGCCCCGGGGGTGTCCCCAGCGGCGGGATCCGCCCCAGTAGCAGCGATGTGGGGCCGCCCCCGGGACTGCCCCCGCCCCCGACCCGCCCCCGGCCCTCCGCTCCATCCCGGGATGGGCCGGCCGAGCTGACAGTCGGGCTGGGCGGCCGCCGCGGGCGCATCCACCGGGCAGCGCCCGCCGCCGCCTGCCCGGCTCCCACCTGCGGCGGCGGCTGCTCTGGGGGCCGCGGGCCGGGCGGGGGGCACCGCACCGCACCGCACCGCACCGCACCGCACCGCACCGCACCGCACCGCACCGCACCGCACCATTCCCCGCCTGCCCTCCAGGATGAGCCCGGAGTATTTCCTGCGCTCCTTGCTGCTCATCATCCTCGCCACCTTCTCGGCCAACGCCAGCAACTGGCTGTGAGTAGCCACGGGCGGAGGGGTCCCCCCGCCGCCTCCGGCACTTGTTGCTCCGCGGGGGCTGCAGAGCAGGTGCCGCCGGGGTCGGGCAGCATCACCCCGTTGCGGGGGATGGAGGTCGCGGTGCGCGGTTCTGGAGCCGCGGGGACGGGTGGTGCAGGTGGGTGCGGGGATGCCGGCTCTCCCCGGTTGCTCCAGCCTGGTTATAGGATAACTTGGTGGGCGCCGAAGCCCCCGTCCACCTTTTGTTCTTAAATTACTGACTTGGGCTGCGCTGGTAAAGTGAGGTCGGGCCGGCGGGTCAGAGCAGGGCCTGGGGCTTGGCCGGGTGCCCCATGGGGCCAACGGGGCCGGGAAGGACTTGGCAGGGAGCAGGCAGGCAAGCAGGGATCGTTCGGGTGCTGACCCTGGGGACCCGCAGTAGGCAAAGTGCACACCCAGCACTCCATCACCCTGCGGGGACGTGGGACCGCCGTGTGGAGGAGCCGGGTGCCATCTGGAACACGCTGAGCAAATGCTGAACAAACGTGGAAGGTAAACAGGGGAGGAAATAGTTCTGGAAAATTCCTGCCCGTTCACTAAGGGCTTCTTCTAGGGGAGACCCTCGGGACAGGAGGGATGGAGCATGGCAGCATCTTCCATCAAAATGCCAGATGAAGGCAACGTGTCCGCATCTTTGGGGAGATGCCATTTCCCCACTCCCAACATTGATAGCAGACTGAGAGTCAGTGCGTTCCCGGTGTGTGCAGAGCAGACCCGTGTTTGTGTCATGTCCTGCTCCCCTGCCCTGGTGCAGGCACGGTGTCCCCAGGGCCATAGGCACAACACGCTCCGGTGGTTCCTGCCATAGCCCAGGAGTTCGAGGATGACTCCTGCATCCGGAGATGGCTCCCGTTGGCTGGAGGCTGCTGGAGGTGCGCTGATTTTGGAGGATGCTCCAAAATCAGGCTGGGAAGCAGCGGGATGGTGCTGTTCTCCCTGCATCCCACCGGTGGGAAAAGTGCTGCCCGTCGGTGTCCGCATGGGATGCGTTAAGCGCTCAGCCCTCCTCCCCCTCCTTCGCCAGATGGAGCGACTTGCACCCCGCGCGGCTCCGGCGGAGCGTGGGTGGATCGCAGCCGCTCTCGAGGTGGTCTTTAAGCGGTACACGGGGAGCGGTGCGAGCGCTCTTCCCGCAGGGTCCGGACGGGGAAACGCTCCCGGGGAGGGGAAGCGCCCGGCGAAGGGGGATCTGAGGTTAAGTGGCAGCAGTGAGGTCAGCAAGGCGCGGTGCCGCGGCGGAGATGGGGCTGTGCGCGGCCGCTCGTGCTCTCCGAGCATCGGGGTGGGCGCGGGGGTTCGGCAGCGGGAGAGCGGAGGGCTCATTCCTGCCAACAGGGGAGGAAAAGCAGATCCATTTCTGCGCGCTTGAAAGAAAGGGTCAACTTTTTTTTGATGTTCCAAATGTATCGTGATAAAAGGATCGTCCCCCGCTCGGCACTTTTTAAGCTTCGCCTTTAGGATTAAGACAATTCCCATTGTTTATCTCCTCACATCAGAAACAAAGGCTGCCAGAGGCAATAAACGGAGTTAGAGGGAACCCAGGAGTTATCAGATATTCGAGGAATGAGCGTGCTTCGAGCGTCTCCACAAAGCCGCGCGCATGGCGCAGGCTGGGCTCTCTCATGGCACGGGGTCTGGCTGGAAGGTGCTGGGCACGGGCTGCTGGGTACCTCTCCAGGTGCACAGCTCTGCAGCCCTGCGCGGAGGCGGATGGCAGTGTGCGGGGAAGTTTGCTTTTCCAGAAACCTGCTAGATCGGTGATTAAGCTCAGGGTGCCTTTCACAAGACGAGACTTTTTCTAAAGCTCCTCCTGACCTGTCGGGACTCGCATTCCCTGAGTGCTTTGGAAACGCAGCTTGCAACACCTGAGCTGAAGGTTCCCTGCAGCGGGCCCGGTGCCCTGCAAGGAAGCGGCAGGAGGGATCATCGTGCTGCAGAGAGCTCTGCAATAGAAGCAGCTTTGCCAAATGTTTCCATTAAGCAGACCCAGATCCTTCTATCTGGCTGGGAAGTGAACCTCAGGTGTGTTTTCTCAGTGCCTGTGTTTGGGGAGTTGCTGTTTGGCTCGCTGCCTATCCGAAAAACCTCTCTGTCATCCAAACCAAAGTGATGCTCTTTTCTCTCCTTCTAATAACAGCTGCAGGCTTGTTTTTCCTCCTGTCTTTTGGGGCTCAGGGAGCCTTAAAGATTTTCCTGCCAGCAAAGAATTTGATGTTAAATAAAGGGCAGTGGTTGGTGCTCTGAGGTCTGTCTGGCTGTGATGTGCATAATGGGAAGATCCTGCTAGAGGAGTCCTGAGATGTGCTTCATACATGGGAAGGAGCTCAGCTATTCCCAAAGCACCTTTCATTTCACAGCCTCCATTCAGCTCTTGGACCTGCTGCTGTGCCTGCGGCTCTTTGGGTTGCCCGAACCTGAGAGTTGATCTCCATGTCTGAAAAGCATCAGTGACACAGGGGTCCTTCATGGGCAGGGCCCTTCTTGCTGTGTTTTCTAGGAGTCACTGCAGCCTTTCTCCCTTTTCCTGCTGTTAAACATCTAAAAGTGGCTTTGGAGGAGGCTCAGAGCAGGGTGTGCCACCGGCAGCTCCGTCTACCCCTTATTTACAAGGGTTTAAAACTTCCATCTGTGCTTCAGGCTTGGTTTAAAGGGCCAGGAGTGCAGCTGGGCTTTTAAAAACCTTTACAAAAAAGCAAAACTGAGCTTTCTGGGAAAGCTTGAGGACCTTGTAAGTGTCCAAACAAGCCTGGATAACAGCAACCACTTCTGAGGGTAGGAGGGAGGGATGAAAAGATTTGGGGTTTTGGGGCTCCCATTCATTTGGATATGCCAAGGTGCTCCACAAACCCAACTCAGATCTCATCCTGCTGGGGAGCAGCCTGGGTAGACCTCAGCTCTGATGTTGTGCCACTTTGTGTCACTGTGCAATGTAAGGGATGTAGAAAAAGCAGACCCGGGTCCTCCGCTTGCATCCCTCTGATCTTAAGCCAGGCTCTATTTTTAAGATGAATCTCCCCAGCTTTGACAGCGGGGAGTTCACTTCACCCCCACCCTGCTTCAGTCCCATTTCATGCAGGATTCTTCGCATTGTCACTGTGACTCTCCCATTTCCCACCCGGCGAGGAACCAGTCCAGCATTTCCCCTCGGGTGCCCCATGGCTGCAGCACCATTCAGCAGGTGCAGGTAGCTCCAGGGCACGTCTGCGCCCTCAGATCCCTGCTTCCCTCCCTGCAATCTTATTTTTGGTGTACAGACAGCACCAGGATGGCTCCCAGGTCACATCTACTTTGGCAGAGTTGCTCAGATTGGGTCCAAAGGAGAATTTGAATTTCTTTGCTTTTAGTTCCTTTGCTTGCCCTGGGGATGCTGCAAGCTTAGGGCTTCCCTGCCTGTGATTTGAGCTCAGCTATGAAAACTGATGGCTTTAAGGATTGCATCCTGCAGACAAAAGGCCTTTGCAAATCCTGATACTGAACTTCCATCCAGTTTAACTCATCTCTGAGCTCGGGACAGGAAGGATCGATGCTCCCTGGCTCCTCACTGATGACAGCATTTTCCTTTCCCCAATGAAGCCTTAAATAAAAATGTACCCTCATACAGAGTAGCGGAGGTTTATCCAAGGAAGGGTGGACATCAGGTGCTTCTATCTCACTCACGTTGCAGGTCGTGCAAGGACAGGATCTGTTCAGCTCCAAACACGAGCAATGGCGAGAAGCAGATTTCTTCTTTTTGCAGTGGTTGGTGGTGACTCCATGAGTCAGAAAGAGATTTTCGCACTGCAGTGACAAATGTTTGCATTGCGCTGCTGGGAGCTGTTGTCTTCCCAATTAACTCATCCTTGTAGATGGAAAGAATTGCACTGCAGCCATGCATTTGGGCTTTCTTAAAATGGGAAATTGCTGAGCAACCCCCAGAGGTCAGCAGTTTGCAGGAGGTTCTTCCATATTCCCTTATAAACGCAAAGCCGCAGGCTCTTGCAACACCTTTTTTTTTTTTCTTTAAACAAAGCTTGAAAGCATTGCAAACCCACAGAAATGGCACTTGCCAAGGCTGGGTGGAGGATACGTGATGCTCTGGGTGCCAGGAGCAGATCACCCCCAGCCCTAGGACTCAGTCCCTATTGCTGCAGGTGACCCCAAATGCATCCCTCCAGCACAGAGCCGCTGCGGTGTGCAGATGGGAAGGTGCCGTGAAGGATCTGCCTGGCTCAGCAGAACTGCAGCCAGTATTGTGCTTTCACAAAATTACTCGGGGTGGTTGGGGGGTGGAGGGGGGAAAGAATTAATTGAACCTCTTGGCCAATGGAAAGCGGCCCGAGGTCTGTTGGAAGTTGGGTGAGATCAAACCAGTCCCGCAGAAGGTTCCTCTCTCCGTGTGTTTGCAAATTCCGATTGAAATGAAAAACTCATCAGAATTTCTCCAACCCAGGTGTAGCCCTGAGCGCTGCACCAGGGGAATTCCCACGTCGTTCAGCCCTGTGGCTTGCACTTGCCTCCTCTTGCAGCCGTTCCTTGCTGCTGAACTCGAGCAAAGGAGGACGTGTGAAAGGATGTTTTCTACACATCCGAAGTCCGAGGTTGGGGGTAGGGGACTGGGGAGGGCAAAGTTTGAGCATTTGGGGGTCGTTTTGTGCTGCGTGCCCCAGCTTGGGGAGGGGGACACAGCCTCCTCATGGGACACTGCTCTAGCAGCTGGAGGTGGGGATTAGGGCGTGAGAAGCATGGTTTTAATCCAGAGATGAGATATGTACAGCCGAGCCATAGAGCTGCTTTTCTGCCAGGGAAGAAACAGACAGGCCTTCGGATGACGACATTGCGCATCGTGGTTTACATTTACAAGCAAAGGAGAGGAAGGACATCTAATCCCAGAGTGGGGTGGCCAGTCTGGGAGGGATGTGTCGTGTTGTAGGGCTGTCAGCTGGACCAGTTATTCTCCATATTGCAGCTCTCCAGCAGCCCCATGCCCACAGTGCTGGACCAAAGAGAGCAAGAGCTCTCTTTCCTTGCCTGCTTTCCCCTTCCTTTTTCTTTTTTTTTTTTTTTTTTTTTTTTTAAATTTTTTTTTCCTTTGCTAAGCCTGGAACATCCCATTTGGGACCTTAGGCAGGCAGGTATCCCCAAGAGTTTGGGCATTTGCTGAAGACATTGATGCTTCTGAGCTCATCTCAGCATCTCTGATAGGAGACTGCAGTGACACCACCTGGCTGACACCGCCTTCAGGAAGGTATTCCCAAACTGAGATAATGTGAGAAATTTCCACATTTGAAACTCTGGGACATTTGGTGCATCTTCCCTGAACCACCTCTACTGAGGTTCAGTCCGTGACTCCAATTTGCCCACCTCCCCATGGCAGGGAATCCCCTCCCCACTCTTTCTGGCTCTACCTGCCAACCCCTGGGGCAAAAATTATCATCGTTCTTCATATTTAAGTAGGGCTTTTTTGCCTCTCCAAATCTCCTGGGATTTGAGGTTTCCCTCTTTGCCATCTTGCAGAGTGGATCAACTGCAAATACTCCAATTATGGGACTTCAACCTTGATCTGCGTGCTGCGGATGGAAAAAAAGGAAGGGCTTTCTGTTGGTTTTGTGTTAAGTCAGTGATTTTTAATAAAAGGGAGCTTGTTCTGTGAGTGACTTGTCTGGATGTGAAGGCAGGAGAAAAGAAATACAAATGTGATGATGAAGCAAGAAGACAAGACTTGAACAAATGGCTTGGGCAGCAGCTCACCCCTTGAAACATTCTTTGCCCAGTCTTGGAAAGGGAAGGAAATATGCCATTATTTGGGTTTATTTTTTTCCATGAGCAGGACTGTTCTGAAGCTTCCTGTGAGCCTCAAGTCCCAGTCCAGGGCTCTGCACTGCAGGGAAATCAAGGTGGGCTCCCCTCTACAGCAAGACCTTGCTGAGGGCAGCTTTGGTTTGGTTTGCTCTTGTGCCTGTCTTGATCTAGAAGAAAGGCTTTCTCTGTGGTTTCTACCACCTCAGCCTAGGAAAACAAAGCTTGGAGCAATGTCCTTATTAAGAACCGGGCAAAGTGCTGGAATGGGGCTTCCATGGTGACCCTGGAGTGCTGGCTGCAGTGCATTGCTTGGGCTCCCCAGCGCTGAGGGACTCTGCACTGCAGAATGGGAGCATCTCTGAGAAGGAATGGTGGGGGAGAGAGACCAGAAATAGTTCTGGACAGCTTCACTTTATTTCCCCGCCTTGCAAAACAAATTACCAGACCTGCTCTTGGAAAGCTGTATCCATCTTTGAAGCATCGTTGTCCTTCGTTTTATCATCCCAAATACCATTACGCGCTCCCTGGGGAGGTGTCTTATCAGGCGCATCTACTTGGAAAGGCTTGAAAGGCTCCTGTCACACTTTTCTTCATGTGTGCTTTGAATTTATAGCTCCTCATCGCCTGAAGAATCCCACTGAGCTGGGAAATACATGAGAAAATGAGATGGTGCCTCCCTCCAAAGCAGAGCTGAAGTCAACGTGGCAGTTCCACCTGCGGTCGGGGCTGAGCACTGGAGGCAGTTTTCTTGTTTTCCAGGCTCCAATGTGACCACTTGACCTGTGGTGCCTTAGGATAACTCTAATTGCTTTGGTGTGCATCAGCTTTCCTGTGCACCAAATGAAATGATAGCTGGATGGAAGGGAGCAGGGCTGTTGTGGGCCCAGTATCCAGTGTCCTGAATGATCCCAAGGGAGGTTTGCTGCCATCCTCTTGGTCCTTGCAGCTGGTCCTCTGCAAGCAAGCTGAGCTCTTGGAGGAGCTGAAGGCCTTGGGCAAAGATGCTTAGCTGGTATAAAGGCTAGAAAAGAGCTTGGCTCTGAAACCACAGCTGCCTGCCACTTCCCATTGTCCAAGCTGCATTGCATCAAGTGACCTCCATGCATGAGGAAAGCTGGATGCTTCTGACAGCCAGCCATGCAGACTCCCCACGGACACTGCAAGCCAACCCAGCTTTCTCACCATCTCTATAAGCACGAAACCAAGCTGGTGAATAATTCTGCTGATGCACGGAAGAGAAAATCCTGCTCTCTCCTCCTGGGGCAGGCTGGCATGGCTAATGGGAGGAAGAGGCTGTGACAACTGGATCTTGTGGCTGAAGTCAGCAGATCTGACCCCTGGGACACATGGGAATGGGCAGGAAGCAGGAGCCACTTTTGAATGGTCACTTCTCAGAGGCAAGCAGTGCTTCAAAGACAAAATCCTTCACAGGATGTCGTAACTCAGAGGAGGAGGAAAAAAACAAGCAAACAAAAAACCCACAAGTTCTGTAGGGCTGGGAAAGGCAGAGTCAAGGAATGAGGCTTCCGAAAAGCCTTCGCCTGGTGCTCACATCACTCAGCACAGATGAGGCGATGCCATGAGCCTGGCCTTAGAAGGGGCAGCTCTCTGCACGCCCTGCAGAGATGGGGCAGTGGTCACCTCCGTGCAGTGCCACAACCTGCCACGTCAGCACACACCTGGCACCCAGCACACACGGTTTTGCCCCTCCCGCTCCAAGCCCTGCTTGAAACCCCAGTGACAGAGAGCTGGCAGCTCCTGGGGGCCGGACTGGCATGCTAAAAGCAGGTTTGGTGATGGAAGTGGTTTGGAGGGCGATGTTTGTCAGCGATGAGTGCGGGAGCTGTGTGGCAGCTGGAGCTGGCAGCCGAGCGGCTGTCCTGCTTGTTTTGGCTGACTTCAGAGACCTCTGGCTTTTCCTAGTAGCGCTTGGATGTGCCGGTACTCAGGAGACCTGACCGGGCACATTCAGACAACACCGAAAATATCCTCCATGCAGGCAACAGAGGCAAAGGGGAGCCGGCAGCTGGGCTCCCAGAGAGGCAGGAGATGAGGCTGCAGAGGGCTGCCTGTTTTCCTTGGGCTTGCTCTCTGCCATGCAAAAATGCAACCTGTGGAGGCACATGTTGCAGGCAGCCCAGGTGCGCAGCGGTTCTCAGCTATGCAGGGGATGATAGGTTGGGTCTCCTTGCTGTGTCCCTGACGAACGTGGGTCTGTGCTCCCCTTCCCTTACCTCCTAACCAGCTGTGCCGGCTCTCACGGCAGGTACCTGGCAAAGCTGTCTTCAGTGGGAAGCATCTCTGAGGAGGAGACCTGCGAGAAGCTGAAGGGCTTGATCCAGCGCCAGGTGCAGATGTGCAAACGGAACCTGGAGGTGATGGACTCGGTGCGGCGCGGGGCCCAGCTGGCCATCGAGGAGTGCCAGTACCAATTCCGCAACCGCCGCTGGAACTGCTCCACGCTGGACACCCTGCCTGTCTTTGGCAAGGTGGTAACACAAGGTAAGCTTGGGTTGGAAGGGACCTTAAGCATCATCCCACCTCAAGCCCTGCCGGGGGCTGGTTGCCCCCAACCAGATCAGGTTCCCCAGGGCCCCTGCAGCCTGGTGTTGAGCACATTCAGGAAAGAGGCAAGAATTTCTTCCCAGTGTCAAATATAAACCTACCCTCTTTTAGTTCAAAACCATTCCCTCCTTGTCTTATCACTATCTGCCCATGCAAAAAAGCGCTCTCACCTTTCCATAAGCTGCTTTTGAGTACTGGAGGTCTCCCTGAAGCCTTCCCTTCTCCAGGCTGAACTCCCCAGCTCCTCATCCTGCATCCATAGGTGCTGGATGTACTGAGCAGCACCAAAGCGGTGACTGCTGCCAAGCGGAGCAGCTCTCATGTGAGGACAGCCCTCTGCCGCCCAGCAAGAGTAAAACACAGCACACCCGGACCCTCCGAAGAGCAGCGAAGATTTATGGCCAGGCCCCACAGCCCAGGCTGGTGCAGGCATCCTGGGGGTCCGAACCATGCCAGGGTGCAGAGATGGAGGGGAAGGTCCCTTCCACCCTCAGAGAGCAGCCTTCCCTCCCCTGGGGTGCCACTCTCACCCCTTTCCATCCCACAAAACGCAGGCTGTGGCTGCCCCCAGCTCCCTGTTTGACTTTCCTCCCCTCGACACAGGGGTGAAGATCTCTTCTTGTGAAGGTTCAGGACTGGAAATACCAGAAATACCAGAAACTAAAAGTCGCCTCTTTTTAGTCAGCCACAGCGCAAAACCGACCAACACGATCCTACTATTAACCTCGATTAACTTGGAGGCGGTTCAGGCCCTGTGCTGGCTGGGCCCTCCCCAGCCACTGCTGCTTGGCCACTGAAGCCTGGGCTGCGACCACCAAAGTAGCTGCCCTCTGCCCGACCGGCGAGCCACCCCCTACCTTGAAACAGCCCTAGCATACCCCAAATGCCAGCCCTGCTTGTTTGGAGCCAGAGGGGCCATGTCCTCAGCCACCCTCGACCTCAGAGGACGGTGGGGATTTGGGTTTTGCAAGAGCTGACGGCCGCGGTCCCTGGCCGAGCCGCCCACGTGTTTGTGTCCAGATTTCTCCCCCTTCTCAAATGGGCTCTTTGTGCCACCGTGCAGGTGGGCACAGGAATGTTCTGCTGTGGCTGGGGGCTCTGCAGAGCGCTTTGGGGAGAGTTTTGCAGTTTTGGAGGCACTGTGAGCAACGGGGTGCTGCGTGGTGATAATGTGGATCTGTAACTGCACGGGGTGATCCCCAGTTTGGTTGAGGAAATAGAACATTTTTGGATGCGGCAGGGATTTTACAGCAAAAGTGCCCTGCAAGCACCATGGGAGCTCCCCACACATTGCAATACAGCCTTTGCATCCCTCCTGCTGCTGCGTTATGACCTTGCCCATCACATCCATGTGCTGCCAGCTCTGTCACTATTGCAAGCAGCGCGTGGTGTCTGCTGAGCCTGGTCTGGGCTTGGCACTGAGCAAATATATCTTGGGATACTTGGATCATGCCAGGGAGGGGGGAGGATGAGCGTGGGGCACCCCATATGTAGGGGTGGGCAGGTGGAGCAGCAGCCCACCTGGGTGCACAAAACCCCCTCGGGCTTCCTGCCATCTTTTCCACTGTTGTTGCAGGGACGAGGGAGGCAGCGTTTGTCTACGCCATCTCTTCAGCAGGGGTGGCCTTCGCCGTGACCCGAGCATGCAGCAGCGGCGAGCTGGACAAGTGTGGATGCGACCGCACGGTGCAAGGCGGCAGCCCGCAGGGTGAGCGTGCAAAGCAGGGATACAAAGTGCACAGAAATGGCCGTCCTCTAGGGCCACCCTTTCGAGAAAGGGCAAAAAAATGTATAAAAACATTTTTAAAAGCCTACTGATAGTCCATGCAAGTGCTTCGGAAAGGGTAGCTGGGAGTGTAGCTCAGGGGGTACGTTGTTCCCCCACTCCGTGGTCATCCTTGTCCAGCTTCCCCAGCACAGGGAGCAAGACAGGGCAGATGAGCAGTGTTTTAGCAAGAGCAGGGCTGAGGAGGATGAACTTCATCTGTCCCATCCTTGCACTGTGCTTAGGCTTCCAGTGGTCCGGCTGCTCCGATAACATCGCCTATGGTGTGGCCTTCTCACAGTCCTTTGTCGATGTCCGGGAGAGGAGCAAAGGGGCATCTTCCAACAGAGCACTGATGAACCTCCACAACAACGAGGCGGGGCGGAAGGTAACACATGGGGATCTGCATGGGGATCTGTGTCAGTGGAGGGGCCAGGGGGGTTAGGGAAAGGCTGTGCCCCAGAGGGCAGCAGGCATGGCACAGCTCCCCGGGCAGTGGGCACAGCCCCACACTGGGAGCACTGGGCACTCGTCTGTAAATTTTGGGGTTGGGCAGTGCTGTCTGCAGCCAGGGGTTGGGCTCAGGGATCCGTGCGGGTCCCTTCCAAGTCAGGGTATCGTATGGTGCTGTGAGTCCATGTCACAGCCTGTCCCAAGCTCACCACCCACAAGATGTATCTCCACTGTGCTCCTTCAGGCGATCCTGAACAACATGCGGGTGGAGTGCAAGTGTCACGGCGTGTCAGGCTCGTGCGAGTTCAAGACGTGCTGGAAAGCCATGCCTCCCTTCCGCAAAGTGGGCAACGTGCTGAAGGAGAAATTCGACGGTGCCACTGAGGTCGAGCAGAGCGAGATCGGCTCCACCAAAGTGCTGGTGCCGAAAAACTCCCAGTTCAAACCGCACACGGACGAGGATCTCGTCTACCTGGACTCCAGTCCTGACTTCTGTGACCATGACCTCAAGAACGGGGTGCTGGGCACCAGCGGCCGGCAGTGCAACAAGACCTCCAAGGCCATCGATGGCTGCGAGCTCATGTGCTGCGGTCGGGGCTTCCATACGGACGAAGTGGAGGTGGTGGAAAGGTGCAGCTGCAAATTCCACTGGTGCTGCTCTGTCAAGTGCAAACCCTGCCATCGGGTGGTGGAAATCCACACGTGCCGGTGATGCACAGAAGGAAGCAGTCATCCCTTCCCCTCTCTAACTGATCCTGCTTCTCTCTTGCCCTGTGGCCAGGACTGAGGAAGTGACCCAGACGCTGCAGGGAGAGCACAGCTCTATACAGAGACAGAGCCCCAGAGGAAAACAGATTTTAAAAGAAAGGAGCAAAAAAATATATATATTTAAAGTTTAAAAAAGAAAAAAAAACCAACCCCCCCAAAAAAAGCGATTGTTGTTATCTTTTATTTTGGTCAGTTTGCTTATTTATTGCTGAGGCCAGAGCAGGGATGTACCTGACCTCGTGGCTGGCAGGGATCTGCCTGCCCTCATCGGATGCTCTACACTGACTCCGGAGCATGGCAAATGGGAGATGGTTAAACCTGAGGCTGAGTAACACTAGGGACCGCGTATCTTCTGTCACAATCGTTTGTTATTTGTTGCAGGAGTGCTTTCAGCATCCCAGAGTACGGCTGGAGCACAGCCAGGACATGCAGCTGTGAGTGCTACAGAGGATGGGGAGATGGGGATGGGGTGGCACTGTCCATCGGTGTTAATCACAATGCAGGGAGAGCCCATCCAGGGCTGTCAGTGTACGGAGTGTGCACGTACAGAGCCTCAGGGATGCTCTGAGGCCTCCTGGGCTCTGGAGAGCTGTTGGAGCAGCTCTGGCAGACACTGTGATTTACAGAAGCTCCTTGGCAGCTGCCTGGGCTGTCAAGGGACATGATGTTCCCACTTTGCTCCCTGTCCCCTTCCAAAGCCCTTTACCTCCCAACCTCAGCATCTTGCCAGAGACTGCAAAGAGCAGAGTACCTGCAATCCAAGGACAAGCTGGAGATGGAAGGAAATCCCTGGGGATTCCTTTTCCTCCTTTCCATAACCTTGCTCACCAGCATCCCACAGCCAGCTCTCCTACTCCTCCTTCACGTGGTCTCTCCAGAGGCCATCCTGCACACCCATTGAGGGCTCCTGGGGACAAGATGATACACAGCCCATCCCCATCCCAGCCACTAGTGAGGAGAGCAGAAGTACAAATGGAAGGAATTGCTGGGATGGGAGGATGTGCCATCCTGCTCCATGCAGCCTGGTCTACAGCCGTGCCATGAGGATAACGTGCTGTTCTACCCGCTCCCACTTCCCCTCTGCCTGGGATCGGGTTAGCATAGAGCCCTTGCTGCTGGGCTGCAGGATGAAATATTTGGAGAACTAATAAGCAGTGGGGCACTGTGAGGGGAGGTGGAAATTGAACCAGTTTCTCTCTTCCCTCACACAGTTGTCTGAGAGGTTGAGAGGCAGAAGGGAGTAAAGAAAAACCCCAAAATGGCACCTCAAGCCAAGAGGAACATCTGCGAGGAGCTGGTGTGGGTGGCACTGCTTTCACTGGGCGGTACTGTGTGAGTGGGAGCTCCACACCTGGAGATGGACCGTGGTCCAGAAGAGCCCAGAGTTATGGCCATCGCCATCTGGGCTGGGGGTCCTCACAAACCTGCAGGCTTATTTTTATTTCCTGCTTCATCTAGAGAGGGGAAAGGTTAGGGGAACACGCAGACATCCATTAAATCCCGTCTGTGCTGTGGCAGTGATGGGCTGGGGGAGAGCCTGTGGTCGCTGGAAGGTCTCCAGACAGCGTCCGGCTGGAAGGCTTCTGACAACTGACTTGATGCAGCAGTGGCTGTGGCTCTGGGGCCAAGCCGCGTGCCTGGAGCAGGGCCCTGCTGGCTTCCCCCACACCACAGGACAAGGAAGGCCAGCACTAAGGGACCTGATGTCCCCCAACTCCCAAAACCTTCAGCAAAGGGCACCAGAGGGTGGTGACTCCAATCCAGAGCTGCCATGGGTTGTGAGCAACTTCCATCTTGAGCTCAGAGCAGCGCTGAGCAAGGCTTGCCCCTCTCACCTTGGCCAAGGCACAGCACTGAGCCCCCAGCAGGGATCTGAGCTGCACTCCATCTCCTTAGGTTCCAAGGCTGTGAGTTCTCAAGTACCATGGACTGCTCCTCCTCTTCCCAGCTCATGCAGAGGAGGCCACAGACCTCAGGCCACTAGCCAAGTGTTCTGCTCCTTGTCCATCTAGGATGAGGGCCAAAGCTGAACAAGACAATCCAGATCAGTGTGTAGATAATCGCAGCACATATGGGTCTTTTTTTCAAGCTGCAATGAAAGCTGAGCCCTGTAAATGTCACCCAGAGATAGCCTGGCTCTGCAGCTCTCTGGCTCTTCTCATAACTGTAAATTTCGGGGAGGGAAGGGAAATGCCTTTTTTCATATTGACTTTGTCTATTAAATAATGAGTTTGTGCTGAATTAGCCATGGGGTTTTCTTTTCCTAGCAGTCAGGCTCCTCTGGGCTGTGTTTGTCTTCTCAGGAGCCCTCAGCTCAAAGGAGAGCTGCCCACAGGGTGCTCCCAGCACTGCACAGGGGGCACGGAATCCCATCCCCTCCCCAGCCCCAGGACCATCTCCATTCCCCCACAACTCCTAGCATAGTGGTGAAACAGAGGCGTGCTTCATCCCACACTGAAACAAGGCACATAGGGCTGCCAGCTCCTTTGTGATCCTTTGGATGGAGCCTCTCACAAGGCTGTGCCATCTCTCTCCTCCAAATACAACCACAGAATCACTGAGGTTGGAGAAGACCTCAAAGACCACCAAGTCCAGCTGACATGGGGAACTCTTGGTGAACGCACTGGGATAGAGGGTGGAGGAGACGGCACAACCCTGAACATCCCTCTAAGACTCCACTTGCTGCTGCCTGTCCCATGCCACCAGTGTCACTTGCCTGCTGTATTTCAGCCAAGAGCCCATCCCTATGCTCTTCCCCATGCCAGCCCCGCAGGCTTGGCACAGCCCTCTGCCATCGTCTCCCTGCTGAGCTCATTCTCTCCTCTGAGGACACATGGGCCAAATCCCCACCCCAACGCATAAACCTTCCTGATGTTCCACTGCCAGCTCAAGATCATCATGGCGAAAACAGAATGTCCCCTGCAAGTCCTCTCCACCCTGCGTCATGGGTAACGCCATGATTTTTCTCATTCCTCACCAACTTCACCACCATCTCTATTCCTTCCCTCTTCTGAAAAACCCTCCCTATGTGTATGACAATACACATTCAGTCTCAGCTGCTCCCTCCTTCCTGGGCTTCACATTTGCCACCTCCTTGTACTCCAGGCTGAGCAGGACATGGCCTAGCTTGCAGGCAGAGCTCCTATTTCTCATCCAGCTGCCACATCACCTCAATGCCCTTTGCTGGCTGTGAACACATCCCTCCCTCCCAGCAATCTCATTCTCCCTCCCCAGTACACTCAGCCACTCTGCTGCCCTCCTCACAAAGTAATGCGTTTACAAACATCAGCTCTAGGGAAGGCAGGTGATGGAGGGAGACAGGGGACACAAGAGGGTCAGACCAGAGAGGAAAGATGCTTTTCTCCCTGCATGAGCAGACAGAAGAAGAGACCTCCTTGCAGCTGTCTATCATAAAGGATAGATCTGGTCCAACAGAGAAGCACTCACACTGGGGAAAGCACTGCTCAGATGTGCAGCACAGCACTGCAGGATGCCCAGCGGAGCGGAGCTTTGACAGCAGCACGATCCCCAGGCAGCAGGAGGGAGCCCGGCCAGCGTTCCTCAGAGAGGCCTCCCACCCCTGCCTGCCAAAATCCTGCCTTAAGTACAGGAAAATAAATTGTGCAACCTGCCTTAGGCTGGATTGTAACACCCCGTGGAGACTGAGCAGGAGGAAGAGACTGGAGCAGAGCACCGCATCCCTCTGGCATCCAGCACCAGGCCCTGCGGACATCATGATGGATCACACAGCAGGGAGCCCTCCTACCAGGTCCTCACCTGTGTGACTTGGCAAGAAAATCCTTCCCAGATCCGACCATTAACACTTGAGGTTGGCAGTTGATGATCTTTTCGGTCCCTTTGTTCTCATGGCTCTGTCCAGGCTGCTGCAGGGTAATCTCCATTCTTTCTGATGTCTCCTGGGGAATTTGCTTCATGGGAAAGTGAGAAACAGGCACCCCAAGCTGGGGGCTGAAGTGGGACCCAGCACACCTGAATGGGTCATGGCTGGGCTGCGTGCTCCAAGCAGAGAGGAAGGGCTGGAGAGCCCAGCTGCTCTCTGTTCCAAGAAGAACATCCCATGGTTTCAGTCTCAAGACATCTGAGTCTTTACAAGACAAGTGAGAACCATTCCAGCAGGGGCGAGTAAGGAAGGGGTTGGAAGATGCAGTGTCCTGTCTCTTCAGATGATCCAGGCTCTAAGAGCTGCGTGGCAGCCAGACACTGCGGAGCGTCAGATCACTGCCTCCAGCCCTTTCCAAACAAAGCAAGGTTGCAAAGTCAGCAGCCAGCCAGTTAGAGAACTTCCATTCACCTATGACTACTGGAGTACAGACCAGGCACCAGAACCAGGGTGGCCACCTAATAAGTCCAAGCATTGCCTTGCTGGTCAAGAAACAAGAGAAGCACGATCTGCTCTCACTACGTGTCAAGGAAAAGTGCCATGACCCAGAAAGGAATGAAACACAACCAAAGAGCAACCACAACTTCCCTCTCATCAATGGTTTCCACCAAAGAAAACCAAAAGATGGGGCATCTGACAACACACGCAGTTCCCAGCCTCAAAACCTCAGCTATTCTGACAGGCAGAAACTTGGTGCATGGAAGTTTATCAATGAGTGTCTCTTGAATCCAAGAAATACAAAATTTAAAAAGGATTTTTAAAAGACTGGAAAAGACATTCCAGGAACCCTGTTGTACTGCAAAAAGTTGCATGCTGAGCTACTGTGTGAGAAGGAAGATGTGCAGAAAATTAAATGCGGCAGGATTATAGATGTCCTCGAACTCAAAATTTGGCTATAAAACAAGATGTCCAAAGAAAACATAAAAAACATCTTCAGAGCAGTGCTGGGGTGAGGGCACTGTGTTTTGTATGGGGAAGGGAGGGGAGGGCAGGGGAGAGGAGGGAGAAAAATAGCATGGACAAGGGACCAATGGGACAAAAGTAGGAAGAATACACACAGCCACCACACAACAGGAAGATGCACGTGCTCAAGAGGACTGGGATGAGATAAATAGGACCTCCTCCATAAAAAATGAGCTTTGAGATGAATACAGAGAAAGGTAGAGCAGTCACAATGAAACAGCAGCAGTGGAAGCCATGCAGATATCTCACTCGGGACTTGGCTTGGTGGCAGTGCTCTGCTTTCTGTAGCCAGCTAGAAAATCTGCGGTCATTTTATTTCCACCAAGAAACCCAGAACATCTGGGAGGGCCTCAGAGCTGAATTAGATGCAAAATAAATCAGTTGTCTTTTTTCCCTCAATAAAGTCACCTTGCCATCTCAATTTTGCACCTGCCGCAGCCAGGAAAAGTCACACTGATAAAAAAGCTGGGATGATGGTGGTGCACCTCGGAGCCCTCATCTGGGCTGCCTGCAGATTTGGGAAGGCAATGCATCAGTGATGCTCTGCTCTTGAACCTTTTACTTTTTCTCAGTTAAAAAAAGGTTGGTGCACACTGTTGTACCTGCAAAGCACACAGAGGTTTGTACACAACCCTGGGCTCCTTGGCCAGACTGAAGGCACTGATCCTAACCCTTGCCAAGCTTCTCAGCCAACATGAGCAAAAGACCTACCAGACCTGAGAAAACAGCCCAGGCAAAGCTGAGCTCCTGGTGAGGGCTGATGCCTGAAGAACAGAGGTCGTGAAAGCGAAGGGAAGGATCTCAGCATTGGTCAGTGGTGGTTGTTTCACAGGTCACCCCAGCACGGCAGCCATTTCCAGCAGTGTTCTCACATACAAGAACACACTGCAGATGTTTTCCCAGCCAAACTCAGCTCAGGAGGGTCTGCTCTGCACCCTGACATAGCAGAGGCCCTGAGCTTAATTCTGAAAGTGCAATAAAAATCCCCTCCAATAAACAAATTCACAGTGGTCCTCTCAATGCCAACCTCTTTGTTTTTCCTTTGCAGCAACCAATGGGGAAGCCACCTCGAGCTGTTTTTCCCCATCCTATTTCTGTCTCCATCTCCCATTTCCTTCTATCCAATATTACCTTCCAAATTCCAGCTCTGATCCTCGGATAATTCGAACATATTGCATTGCTTTAAGAACTGTGTTATTTTATCCCTTTCACCTGCCACTTTTCTTTTAGATAAACACTCATAACTCCCAACATATCACTTTAACTCTTTGACTGTCACTGGAAATGGAACCAGCTGAGATTTTCACAGGGGAAATTCTTTCCTTTCCTTTTCTTCTGGGCTTTGTGCATTAAGCCAAGCAAAATCTCACCTGCCTTAGCATTATCTTCATATCATTTTACTTAAGCTCTGCCTAATAATTTCACCAACTTCTGGGGTTATTGTAACTGTTCAGATTGGATTCAGGGCGTAAAGCTGTCTTAATCACAGCCTCTCATTGAGGGCTACTTATTTCTCTAACGCTTCCTGCCCCAGCTATCACCTCGCAGGATTGGCCTTCTGCATGAGCACAGCATCCTGGGCTCAGATGCAGACACACTCCCAGCAGAGCATGGAGCTTACACTCATCATGCCAATTCTCCATCCAAATGCAATAGGCAAGGACAGCACCGAGAGCAGGAACTGAGCAACCTGATCCCAAATGAAACGTTCCTGGCACTCTTTCCATATCTCCAGCCCTGCCTTGCTCTCACAGTGAGCTGCTCCAGCATTATCTCTTGCACATCAGTGGTGTCCTGGTCAACCAGAAGCAACTCATAATGGTGCATGGGGGAAAAGTTGCAAGCTAGAAATTCCTTTTTCTCTCTCAAAAAAAAATCAATTCACTCACCATCTTCACATCCATCACCCAAAAGATCCCCACTCCACCCCTGGGCATGGCTGTATGCCCTATTTAGGATCCAAATCCACCTCCTGCCATCACAGTCCTTCAAAACAGCTGATCCCCTCAGCTGGAAGCACCTAAATATCTGCTCTTTCCCCAGATTTCTTCCTTCAGGACACTGGAACTGAAGGAGAGTCTGTTTGCTAAGTCAGGAGTTTTGCAGGGCCATCAGCCACTCTGCACACTCTCTGCATGAGTCCATAGCTGCCAGCAGCCTTCCAGGCATGCTATGAGGTGATCAACACCAAACATCATCCTGCTGCACCAACACTGAGTCCTACTGAACATCCCACCAGTGGGACCAGGTGGATCAAAGCTCAGCACCTGATGCAATTTAGAAGCATCTGGCTGTCAGAGGGTACCCTACAGCCCTCCGAAAGCAACTGCTGGCTCCCTTGCCATGTGCCTCAGCAGCATGAGCTAGCAGGGCTGTTGAGATCCACCCACTTAACCCTGGGTCACCACTGATCTTGTGTCGCAATGTCTCTCCCTGAGTCATCCGTTTCCTCCCAGTGACAGAAATGGCCTCAAAAGTTTGCACAGATGGTGCTTAATCCCAGTTTGGACAATGGGAGTTTGGGCTTTAAATGACAATTTCTAACCAAGAGCAAGGGGGAGGGAGGGAGGCAGTGGGGGGTGGGAGAGGACAAAGGAGATGGACACAGCCTGCTTTAGTCCACAGAGGCTCAAAGCAAGTCAACAGAGTGAAGACCAAGCTCTTAATGTCCCCACAGGGACCTCTGCCTGCCCAGGGCTTTCTGTCCTTGGCCTCTCCCTACACATCCCTGAGGTGGATGCCATAGTTGAGGAAAGATGCTGGGGTGGCTGATGCCCCTTCCCAGACCCATTCCAAGGGCACGATCACATACAGCAGTTCCTCCAAGTCCTGTCCAGCTCTGGGAAAGGACATCCTTCAACATCCTCCTTCCATCCTAAGGATGGAGAGCTGATACCTGCTGTCTATTTATCCTCCATGAAGGGCGATGACACAGAACGATGTTGAGGCTGGATGGCAAAAGGAAGCACCATCCTACAGAACGTACCCATGACTGAAGGTCTCCGAAACGCCCAACATAACACATGGAGGGGATGACTCCAAGGCCTTTCCTCTCCTGTCTGTGCACAGCTGGACTCATGGAAGACAGAAATAAGAGCCCTTTTGTGTCACTACCCCATGCCCGAAGCTTCAGCAGGACAGGGTACAATGAGGCGACAGGCACAGAGGCAGGTCTGCCCTTGTTTGTGCAAGCAGACGCCCTTCTGCAGGGCAAAAATCCTCCTCTTTCACCCCTCATCCTTCACAACCCCTTATCCAAGTCAGAGCACAGGGGTTTATAGGCAGGCATGAGAGCCTGAGGATGGGGCAGGAAGATGGGACAGGCAGCGGGGGAAGCATCCCAGCAGGAGCTGCATAGGGGAAGAGCTTCATCCTGGAGAGCATGGAGGGCTGCTAGGACAAGAGACAAACACCATTCAGGGTGACGCAGGGCTGCCATCAACCTCCTGGTGCTGCTTTCCTGCTTCTTCCCTCCCAGATCCCTCTCTCTAACCTAAAGGAGATGGCACAGCATCACACGTCCATCCCAGTTCTCGGGCAGTGCTGGATCCGGGCTAGGAAACCTCCGCTCCCTGCAGGTTCAGCGGGGCTGACACCAGCAGGAGTGTTAGAGAGCAGTGGGGTCTCAGGAGGTCTGAGCAAAGCAGAGCAGTGACAGCCCCTCCCCAGGCCGTGCTCGCTGTCCCCATCGCATGTTCACATCCATTCAACAGAGCCCCGCACTTCAGAAGCAATTAGCAGCCGAGTTGAACTAATTCCCCGCGTGGCGGGTCCAACACAAACAGCGCGTGCTGGCCTGCGCCCCACACCTCCGTGCACATTCACTGCTGTGTTTTAGAGGGCCGGGGCATCCCTGCCAAGAGCAACACAAATAACCCGCTGCTCCTCCAGGTTAAGAGGCAGCCCCGGAGGCCTGGAGTTTGGTGGCCAGGCCGCTCGCGCTGCCTCCGGCTCCACAGCCAGCAGAAAGGCAGCCTCTGTTAGCAGCCCGGGTCAGAATGGAGTCAGGCAACAAGAGCTCGAGTATTCCCCACTCATCCCTAGGGATTGGGAGGGAAGGGGCTGGGCAGCCAGGGAGTCCCTCACTGTGGCCCCCACGGAGCAGCGCTTCGGGGGTGAGTGAGATGGAGTGGAGAAGGCACTTGCAAACAGCACCTGCGGGGTGTTTGTCGGCCCTGTGCAGGCACGGCTGAGACTCCAGCAGCTGAAATAACAACGGGGGGAACGCTGCCGAGCCCCCTTGCCTCAGCGTTGGTCCTGCTGCCAGGCTTAGGCACTGCTGGGATGTGGGGCAGTGAGTCACCACACTGTCCCAAGGTTCACTCTGTCCTACCTGGAGCCATGGACGTTCCTGGGCTCGGTGACAGTCCCCAGCAGGGTTTTGGGAGTCGCCCAATAGCTCCTGCTCCTGTCTGTAGCTCGTGATGCTGCAGAGCTGCCTGTCTCTCCTGAAATGCGTTGTGATTTTGAGGGCAAAAAGTTAGCAGGGTTCAAATCACCCCGTGTCCTCCAAAGCACAGGTATGTTTAATACCTGACCCTATTTTATAGGATCTCTGCACCGAGGCACAGCCCAGCCCAGGGCCACGCAGCTTTCACTCCTGAGATCCCTCACAGCAAACCCAGCAGCAGCAGTAGCTGCAAATAGCAGTGTGAGGGAAAGGGACTCCCACCTAGCAGGAGGGCCATGCACAAGCACTGCCAGCACCCACATACCAAGGATATAGGGCCAAAGCAGGAGGTGGTCTACAGGGCAAGCTGTGCTCAGGCTCCAAGAAGAAATAGCAGGACCATGAAGGGACCCAGGATCAGGCTGATTTCCAGTTCCTCACTACTCCAGTACACATGGCCACTTGTCCCCCACCCATCAACTAAGCCACGATGCAGGCAGGATTGTGCCAGGGGCATCCACTGCGACAGAGCAGATGAGCGTTGCTTCAGCAAACATCAGCCTCACACACCCCCCTAACACACAGAGCCAGGGACAAACCTCTGCCTCCATAGGACCACTTGACACACACTCAGACTTCTTGCCTGCCTTCCCAAGACCTGTTGCAACACAGAGCCAGAGATCTTCTCCAGCAGAGCAATGCTTGGCTCCAGATGCATTCTCACACCTGTGTGTGTCCAGGAAACTCAGCCTGCTGCACCATGCAGGTGATGGAGAGGTCCTGAGGTCAAGCCATTAAGCCTGCTATCTGTTTAAGCCCTTAATCTGTTCTGTGATCCCTATGCACTATGCAGGAGCCTGATGGGAAGGAAGAGAGGCTTGCAGCGAGTGAAGCCATGTGCCTAGGAATCAAGGCACTCTGATAATGCCAAATGATGCTAAGGATGGGGGGAGCTGCAGGAAGGAAGCAGAGAACCTGTTGTTGCAGTAGCATCACAACAGACACAAGGCTATGCCTGTGCTTTCAAACCAGCTTTCGGGAGAGAAATGGGCAAGGAGTGAGCTGGCAAGCAAAGGTAGAAAGTTCAGAGGCTTTTTGGACAGGATGGTGTCAAAGTCCAACAGACCCAGCTGCACATCAGAGCCCTGGTTCTTCGAGCTGCTCCCCGAAATCAAAGTACACTGACACAGCCCTGCCTAAACTAGCATGCTGGTTCTGAGATGTTCCCATGGGACATCAGAACCAACAGGAGCTCCTCCAGTGGGGTTGTTTTCATGCTCCCCTCTTATCAGTCCCCATCCCCCAAGACCTCAAGCCTCGGTGTTAGACTTTGAATACAGGCACCACTTAAGTTTTGCCAATGTGAAAGAATGCTGCCAAACAGCTCGGGTGCCCCAAAAGGACTCCTGATCCCCCCAACTTTCCTTGTGTGCCTGGAGGTCAAACCACTGAGCAAGAAGAGGTCTGGTACCCAGCACCCTTCAACACGTGGGACCTCCCCTGCAAACTGATGCAGAATCAGGGGGATAAAACAGTTATAGCTCTCAGGCATCACTATCTATATGCTCCCCCCACCCCAAAGGAGAAGTACCTGATGAGGTTCAACATGGATGAATGTACAGTCCCATACCCTGGGGAGGAACAATTGTATGCATCAGTGCAGGTTGGGGTCTGCGCAGCTGGAGAGGAGCTCTGCAGAGAGGGGCCTGGGTGTCCTGGTGGCCAACAGGGTGACCACAAGCCAGCAGTGTGCCCTGGTGGCCAGGAATGCCAGTAGGACCCCCGTGTGCATGGCACAGAGCGTGGCCTGTAGAACGAGGGAGGTTCTCCTCCCATCTGCTCTGCACTGGGGAGGCCACATCCAGAGCACTGGGCCACCCAGTTGAAGGCAGGCAGGGAGCTGCTGGGGAGAGCCCAGGAGGGCTACAGAGAGATCGGGGCCTGGAGCATCTCCTGTGTGAGGAAAGGCTGAGAGCCCTGGGGCTGTTCAGTGTGGGGGGGAGAAGGCTGAGAGGGATCTGAGCAACACTTAGAAATGTCTGCAGGGTGGGAGGCGAGCGGATGGGGCCAGGCTCTTTTTGGTGGTGCCCAGAGACAGGACGAGGGGCAATGGGCACAAACTGAAACCCAGAAATTCAGTTTGAACAGGAGAAAAAACATCCTTTCTTTGAAGGTGGCAGAGCCCTGGAACAGACTACCCAAAGAAGTGGGGGAGTCTCCTCTGGAGATACTCACAACCTCCCTGCTCTGCTTCCCCAGACCCCACTGCTCCATCACTGGGTGTTGGGAAGTACAGGCTGAACCCAGACACACTGCCCCAAGCAGCAGAGCAGGCACATCCCTCATCTGCTCTCTGCTGTAGGCTGACTCCCATGCACAACATCCACAGCAGACTGTGGGCAATACCCTCCTCTTTAAATACCACAAAAAATAAACTGACTCTTTTCCAGAGCTACAGGCCACCAGATAACAGAGCTAACTCGGTTATCTCCAGCAAGCAAACCTACAATCTCCTAAGAGAATGAATTCAGGCTTGTTAGACAGAACAATTGTTCTCACACTCAAATTGCTGTTGGTTGCAGGACAGAAGAGGGGCCAGAAACTGGAGATGCTTTATTGTCTGTGTGGGCTGGTTAAAAACCATATGACAGATTAACCCAGGCTGGAGCCACGCCAGAATGGAACGAGACAGGAGCAGCGTAGGGACCACGGGGCAGGCACTTAACAGGAGTGAGGTCAAGGCAGGAGTCAAAACACAGGTGCTCCTCTGCAAATCCCCAGCAGAGGCAAAGCAACAGGACAGGCACCGTGACACAGGACCCTGAGGAAAGAGATGGGCAGAAAGCAGATCTCCACTGCACCACAATAAAGCATTACTGCAATCATAGTTAATTTAGCATTTTTTGGCTCTACGCATGCCCCCCTGGCCCTGTGGATGCATCCAGGGTCTCAAATCCTTCCCCCAGGCAGAGTTAGGTGTGCATCCAAAGCATTCATTCATCTCAGAGCTGGAACGCTGCAGCACTGGAGCCAGCAGACAGGCAGCCCCAGGGCAAACCATCCTCCAGACAGGGGCCAGGAGCAGGATGGGCTCGAACAGGGCATGGGGTCAAAGCTCACATTTCCAGAATCCCCTGAGCAACACAGTCCTGCCTCCAAAAGCAGTACTGCTTTACAGGCACAGCAGCATGCTCTGCTCAGGATTTTTAAAGATATTTTAGTCTTCAAATATACAAACTGAAGTCTGGAGGGGTTCTCAAAGGCAGCTCTTTGGGCGACCCAAGTATCTGCATCCATCAAGCTCCTCAGTTACTTTAGCATTTTGAATGCTGCAGTGGCAGAGAAATTCCCAGGTTCCCCAGACAAATGTTGTTCAGGAGCAGCAGTTTGGAGGAAGCAGCAGTTCTTCTGCACACATCAGCCTGGCAGATCCAAGCTCCCTTCCTTTCAGGAAGCACAAGATGCTCCATGTGCTTTGCTGAACCATCAGAAGTCCCAGCTTGCATGAGGGAAAGACGCTGCCCAAGTCTCCAAGGTCATGAAAAGCCCCAGAAACTGAACCTGGGAAGAAGCATCATTCTGGCAGCACTGCCCTTGCAGGCACAAGCTCATCCCATCTGATTTCACCACATCCAACCAGGGAAAGAATGAAGGCTGAGATGCTGGCAGAGCAGCACTCAGCATACGTCAAAAGGAATGGGTGCTTGGGCAGCATCAGAGGGTGAAAAGAAGCACCTGGGAGGGACTTGGTGCTTTCTGCCCACTCTCCTGTCCCCATGCAGGAATTACCCCATGAGACACAGTTTCAGGATACAAAAAGCAGGCAGATGAGCTCCCCAGCATCCTGGGAGATGAGAAAACCCAGAGCACAGGGGAAACAAATTCCCACATTAAACCCCCTCGCTTCTCTCCTCTTCTTCCTGATCTTTCTGAACCAGGGCCGGGTTCAGCTGGAAGAAGCCAAAACCAACAGAGCCTGGGCTGCTCCCTGCAGTCCAGCAGCAGCCTGAGCCCAGCTGGACGCTGCTAATGCAGGCGCACGCTGTTGACGGCGGAGCCCCGGCACAGTTGTAAACAGCTCAGCAGTTTGTACACTCTCCAGTATTGATGTTATACAAAGGAGCTGGAAATGTAAATGATTGCACTAGACCTACAGCCGGTGGCTGCTGGTACAGACCGCCCCCAGGAAAAAAAAGAAAAAAACATGCAGCCCGCTTCTTGGCACCGCAAACAGGGCCTGGCCCTGGCCAGGAGCAGAGGAACAAACCTTTTACGTGTTTGCCATCTAGCGGCTTGGGAAAGCCTGCACAGAGGCATTGTCCTGCAGCACAAAACTCCACCAGGTACAGGACTGGCACACAGTCACAGAATGGTTGGCCTGAAAGGGGCCTTAAAGCCCATCCCATTCCAAGCCCTGCCCTGGCTGCCCCGGGCTCCATCCACCTCCAGGGAGAGGGCATCATCAGACAGCCTGTGCCAAGACCTCCCAAGATCTCATTTAAATCTCCCCTTCTAGTTTAAAACCATCCCTCCTCCCCTCTCCTACTACTATCAGATCATGAAGTCAGTCTTGTTCAGTCACCATTCATCCCACTGCTGTTTAGCAAAGGAGTGAAGACAAGGGCGTTGGATCAGGATGCAACTTCAGCTCCTGAGATAAAACGTCTTGGCAGAATACCCATCAGGGTGAGGGGGTTGTACCTACGTGCCTGAACACCCACCCCAGGACAGCTGAAGAGGCCACATTCAGTAAAGGAAGGATGCCACCTGCATTACATCTGCTTTGCCTGCTTGCAGAAGAGACCAAATAGTAAGAATAATATTTTCTATTTTTTCAGTCGTCCGTTTCAAAGGAAATGGCTTTAACATTTCCACAGCGTTCCCAGCCAGCTTGGCTGCTAGCTCAGTTCATGATCATTTGGGCTGTACGGGCCTATGTGGGTCTGCTGCCTCAGAACCCAACTGCAGTGTCTTTGTTAAAAAAAAAAAAAAAGGGGGGGGGACTAAGAGGACAAAAAGGAAAGAAAGAATAACATATGATACTATGTAATAGCACTAACAAGTAAACTGTTCTAATTTTTACTGAAGTAATAATTCCGAAGGAGGAAAAACAAAGTTTGTACAGCTGTAGTTAAGGTTGAGCAAACATAACACTAATCACTTTTGCCTCACCTCTTGGAAAAGGCTCTAGAACAGTGCTGGAATCTGAAAAGGGAAAGAAAAAAACCCACAAACCATAAAGTACCAAGTCCCAGCCTCTGGGAAAGTTCTGGCAAGCTGGTGCTGCTTCAGCCCCACCGAGGGAGGGATTGCTTGTGGCCAAATCTCCTGCCACTAATTGCTGGCCCCTCATGGCACTGCTCCTGGACAGGGCAGCAGCAGGTGCCTCACTATGTAAGGGAGCACTCAGGAGGCAGCTCAAGAGAACAAGGAACAAAACTGGGCCACGGGGAAGAGCAGAGAGGAAAGCTGTGTGGGGAAGAAGGAAAGAAAGCAATCAGACACACAACAGGCAGAAGGAAGGGGTTAAAGGTACCACAGAGAAAAGGGTCAGGATATATAGGGAAGGCAAAGAGGCAAGCAAGACATGGAAGACGACTGCCAGTAGAAAATCAGCAGGAACCTTCCACTCATCTCCTCTGGATTCCCAGGGATGACCTGTGAGAGCACAGGGCTTGTGTGGGACATTGCAACAGGGACACACTCTTTAGAACACCAGGCTGGTCTTAAACTGCTCCTTTCAGGTCATCAAAACTTGGCTAGTAATCTGTAAGGAACAGGGATAAGCATTCATAGAGGAGAAGGGGAAACCTCACTCAACTGTAGAACCCCACAGCTGACCCAGACATGAGAACCCTGGAATTTTCCCATGGGCTCTGCTGATGTCAGGGCCAGGCTCATAGCATCTCACTCAGACCTCACTGCCTTTAGTCCCTTTCAGCCTCACCCACAGCTCCAGCAGCCACCACCCTGCACTCAACAGAAGCACAACAAAGCAGGAAACCTCTGTCCCAGAAGCTGGACTGGGTCCCAGGAAAAGCTGCAATAAAGAGAGGAATAACAGTGCTGTCGCTGACAGGATGGTGAGGGGAGTTACAAGGGCCCCCAGGACCCGTGGACCAAACCAAGCAGCAGTGAGAAATTCCAGATTATTTCTTACAGCCGACTCCATCCTCATGCGTTCTCCTGCTGTGAAGTAGGTGACAAATTACCATCTTTGTTATTCAAGCACATACCAAATCAGGGTGATCAGTATTTGTCAAATAAAGGAAGAAAAAAATACATTGTGCAAAACATTTCCAAGTTTATTTTAACAGGGCTTTAAAAATCAGTCAGTGCCAGGTTCATAAGCACCTCTTGGGAAAATTGGCCCTGGTTTGCCATAAGAGACTTATTTTTCTTCATCTTTATTTCCCCCTTTTCCTTAACTGAAAGGAAATAAAGCCTGCTGCCTCCAGGAGCGCATCAGTATGGATGCCAGCCCAGCAGAGGACAAATATTAAGCAGCAAACGTCAAATCCCTGCCTGGGGATGGAAGTCAATATACCAGCTACTTGATCCTGCAGCAACAACAGGTTTGTCTTTGCCTCACCCTGCACCAGCTCCCCAGATGCTGGTTGTAACCTCAGTGCTCTCAAAAAGGGAGGCTCACAGCAGCCCTTTGAAAGCTTCACACCTGCTGGGAAATCTGACCCGTATCTTCCCCAGGGGTCAGGCATACCCAAAGCACACATGGACAGCAGCCCAGATCTGTCTGCCTTGGATGAACACCCAGCTTTCCTGTGCTGGCTAAATGAGGTAGCATTTTCTCAGCCATTGGCACAAACCAGCTCTTCCTCTTGCAAGAAAGCCTCCAAAATTTCAGTGACCAGAATCCTTGCAGAAGCACTATGGCATCAGAAAACACATCTCTTACTTGAGGTCATCCAGCTCCAGGCAAAAATTGGAGCAGCTTTATTTGTATGAATGCACACGTACTCCTCTCCCTACCTGCCATGGGAAAAGACATGGGACCCCCAGGGCACACAAGGAATAGGGAACACAGCCCAGGGAGCAGATGTGGGATCTCTCTTGTGACTGAAATGTGCTGGAGACTTGGGAAAGCATCACCCCCCATCCTTGCAGTGACGAGAGGAGCACCAGCTGTGAGGTCTCTGAAATGAAGCTGCAGTGGAACCACAGTGCTGCCTGCCAGGGAGCACAGCTGGCAGCTCCATCACACACACAGTTGGCAGAATGGATCTGTCACCTTGAGGATGACAGGACAATGTGAAGGAAGGAGCTGACTGTGCTTGCCAGCCAGGAATGAGGTATATGAAATGCTCCTCGAAGGTTAAAGCAGTCACTTACCTTGCTGAAAGACACCAGTTCTCAAGCCTCACATGAAGGCGCTCCTTGTGATCTTCCAGACATCACTTGGTGTTTGTTTTACCTGTGTCAGCCCCACTGTGTCCATGGCAGCATTTAAAATGAATCACTTCTCACACTATACTGACTCTTTTGATTTCAAGAAGGTACACAGCCCAGAACTGGGACAGGCAGGTGAAAGGCCAGGCAAACAACTCTTCCAGAAGTCATGAAGTAGATCATCCTTTGTGGAGCTCTGCATGCTTGCAGCGTTGGCATTTCAAGTTCCCCCTAGGTGCTTAGGTGGCCAATGGTATAGGGAGGGAAGAAGGAGATCTGGGAAGCAAATGACCCAAACTAAGACTGGCCACAGCGAATGGGTGTAGAACTTTTTTTTTGAAGGTTTTTTTTTTTTTGAAGTTTTTTGAAGTTGAGGAAAAGAGAACCAACTTCAAACCAGCAGAGCACCACAAAGGGAGGAGCCAGACAGCTACACACTGCTGCTGCTACAGTACTTGGCAAGTGAACCACGCCACCCACCTGATGCTCTCCAAAACATTCATGAAGAATCAAAGGCTGCAAGTTTCTCCTGGACAAGCTCCTCCTTTCTGTAACTGCACAGCTGGGAGCAAAGGGAGGTTGCATCTCTCTGAATGACAACACATCCTAAGCTCTAGGTGTCAAGCTTAATTCAAGAAAGACACAGAGTACCCTGCCTGTAGCCAGCAGAGCCCACGTTTCCAGGGCTGTAAATCAGATCAAGTAACCCTTCCATGAGTGTGTGTGTGTGTGACAGAAACACTTTCCCTTCCATCATACAATTACATATACATATTACTTCACAGGCTGATGTCCTTCTACACAGTGAGTGATGGCAGATCATTAATATTCTGGATCTGTACAGAAACCTCTTATTATCCAGAAAAAAGCAATCGATTTCAGTGACTGTACCAGCATCAATGCTCGTGACTCCTCTACTAGAGGGTGCCTCCAGATGTCACCCATCTCCATACAGTCTATCCCAAGTAACTGCTATGAGGAAAATCCCACCCCTCAGACGCCCCAATAGGCAAGCTCACCTCTAAGCAGAGCCCAGAAGGTGCTGCTGTAAGCCCTTCACCCCACATGTCCTATCTTCCTACACCTCACCCAGCCATCCCCACACAGAACACCAAGCTCTGTGGCTCTTCAGCTGCTTCATTCAGCCCCACATCAGGCTCTACCAACGACCCACACAATCCAGGAGCACTGCAGGCCATGCAGGAGGGATGCCCACCACATCCCACTCTGTCAGCTGCTGCGGGTACAGCTCAGCCCCAGAAGCTGCTGGGCCTGGTGCAGGCAGCACTGGGCCCAACACTGCAGCAGTTCTTACAAGTGGCTGACATCTTCTCACAGGCTGATCTTTCACTTCATTCAGTCCAAAACCACCAGAGGGCAGCTTGGAATGTAACTATTTGTGGGCTGGGAGCATTAAATACTTCACTTCCTAGCACTGAAATCTTGTTTGCCCAGCTACTACTCCAAAGTAACTCAAAACACATCCCCCTGCACATCATCTGTCCCTTTAGATGGCTCTGGGTGGGGTAAGCAGAGCAATAACAGCTCAGGGAAGTCTACGCTCTGCTGCAAAGCAATCCCAGTGACCTGCCAGCACCCTGGGCTCTATCTATTTGTTGCTTAGCAGTGAGGCTCTCCCTCAAAACAATTCAGGCCAAAGAGCTCTCCTTGGGGAAAGAAATACTTTGCTAGTTTCCAGGAGCCACCAGATAAGGAGTGAGCAAACACAAAGCTGAGAAGCAGGCAGAGGGTACCAACATCAGCCTGGGCCTAAAGATAATAAGTCTATATTTAAGAGTTAAAATAAGAAGTTTGCCAACAGCATTAGGAGTGTCACTTCCCTGCCCCCTATCCAAGCATTCTTTGTATGGGCTAAAGGTATTTTCTAATCCAGGCTTTTTATCCAGGTCCAAGCACGTAAGGTTTCTTTCTATCTTAACCTTGCTACAGCAAGCAGGTGTTGGCCTGCTTGCATCAGCCTGCAGAGCAAGAGAGGAAGGCTTGGACTTGCCAGCATGTTTATGACTGGGCAGCAGGATCTCCAGTTAAGATAACCTGTCTGCTAAGCTCCAGCTCATGCCCCGTTACCAGCTTCTTGCACAACCCTGGACAAGTTATTCAGGCAGGATCTCACAGGAGTCACAGCCAACCAGCAGATCCCTGATTTCCCAGCCTGAGTTTCAGGAACTGATTCAGCTCACAAAAGGACAGATCACAACAGGAACTGAGGTAACAAACAATCACCAGGAGAAGACACCTTTATCCTTTTGCTAGCTAGAACTAATTTATTCTCAACTTAACTACTTCTGGATTCTTCTTCACAGTTTGTTTTTTTTTTTTACATAGTACTTTCCTCTTATGTTCTTGATCCCCTCTAAGCAACTTCTAAGTCCCTAACAGGAAAGTATCCAGGCACCCAGGGGCTCAGACCAGGGGCTGAAGAGGAGCACCAGTGAGGAATGCTTCTCTGAGGAAGTAGAGCATGGGTGGGAGGGGAAAGCAAAGCAGCACACCTCCCCAGCACAGGACCCCAGAAGCAGCCCACGTGACATATCTGCACAGTGAGAAGCTCATTAGAACAAGTTAAGGCAACAGGAAGGCTGGGTCAGGGGCAATGCTGACACAACAGCTCTCTCAATTCCCACTCACAGGCTGTTTTTAAAAGGAGGCAGCTGCTACCAGCTGCAAAATGAGACCAAGATGGTGGCCAAGTAACAGGACATTGCTGTCTCTTGGGAACGTGCCAAAAATCAGTCTGTTTTTAGCTGTGTCTACAGGAGCAAATGGCAGAGACACGAAGAGCAGATTTGCCAAGTGAAACCATACCCAACAGTAACACCAGGCTTTTTCCAGGGGCCCTACAAGCCAACTCCAGCCAGGTCCCACAGACACAAACCCCATAAGCTGCTAAAGGACAATACCCAATTCAAATGTGCTGGAGACTCATTCGTCATCTTCTCTGTGGGACCACAGGGACAGTGTCACACCTGAAAGAAACACCGCTGAGCTGCACGATGGCAGAGAGAGGCTCACTCTCAGGGGGCTCATAGGGGCATTTTCTTCATGTCCTTCCAGCCCAATTCACAATCATAAACCTAACACAAGCCCAAGCAGCACACTGCAAAGACACTCTGGGACGGTAACTAGAGCACATCATATACAAGCAGCTTGGAGATTAGCTTCAGAAGCACACTGATCTGACCTAACCACCAAGGAGGCTGCAGCTTGTCCAAGCTCCCTCCTGAGAGCCCACTAAGAAAGAAGAGCTGACATGCTGACATATGCTGACATACCTCAAGCAGGGTGCAAACAACAGAGAGGACCATCCCCAGGTCAGACAAGGTATGTACTGCTTGGAAAGCCCTTTAGACAACAATCAGCATTTACTCAGCAATGTGTTGCTATTTGAGAATTGCCAAGAAACATACTCCTAAGGAGCCCAGATGGCTCAAATGGTGCTGGTAAAGATATATGCAGGTACACCTCAGAGGTAGGTGTGCTTCTCTTTTCTTACACAATACAATACCCTTGTTTTAGTAAAGGCTACACTTAAGTATGATGCACAGCACTGATAGCAAGAATAAGCACATTACTGGGAAAGAGAGGGAAGACAATGAAAGGATATGCCTGAAGAGATTAACATCTTCCTGGGAAAGCAGAACTCAGTTTGTCTCCCCATCCATCTCCCAGAAGCTTAAGAAAATAGTCTCCAGCTGCATCTAGAGCAACAACCTTCACAGCAAGCACATCTTTTAATTATGAAAGACCCCCTAAAGCTAAGCTGCCAGAGCAAACACCACAGCCCCTGCACTGTCCAGCAAGCGTTCTCCCATCAAGCCTCTCATACAGCTCAGCGCTGTTTCTTCCAAGGTGTAAAACAGCTTCCCACAGCCCCGTGGGGAAAAAAAGAGAAAGCTCTCACCTCACTAACATCGCTGGTGGCACAGCACAGGGACACTTGTAGGAGAAAAATCAGCCACCAGTTTGACGTGATCTTAACATCACCCTGAGCTACAACAGCTGTGCAGAAGATGCTTGCACCAGGAGCTACAGAAACAGCAAGGTTACTTTAGAGCAGCTTATACAGGGGAATTTCCACACATTAACTGAATCAGCAAGGAAAGGACAGAGCATATGAGTGAGCTCAAGTTATCTCCTGCTACGGAACACAACTGTTCCCCTGCAGCTTTCTTCTCAACAGTTACCAACCCTAGAGTACAACCTCCTGTTTTGGCTTTCTGATACAAGCACGTCCTCAGCAAAGGGGCAGGACTTTTCTCCAGGCTATGTACTGCCCATTAGTTGATAGCCTTCACCTCTGTCAACAGGACAGCAGAAAAACAAGCTGATTTATGCCATTTGGCACCACAGCACACGTTTACAAGACAGAGCTGACCCATTCAGACTGTGTGTGTGCTCCCACCTCCCCCCAAGGCTTCTACTTCTGTTCTCCTATCTCCTTCCTTGCAGTGATTTTGGCATCAGTCTGACCACATAATATAAACAGTGGAGTCTACTAATTCAGTAGGAAAAATATCCTGCAGGGTGTTACATTTCTGTGCAATTAGTGACTGTAATCTTTGCCTGGTACAACCAAACAGAGCGAACGTGAAGGATGGTGTGTGAGCACGCATCTAAAGCGGGGATGATCACTGCTCCAGAGACACCAAGCAGCTGCTAAAGATGCAGAGCCACGTGTCTGGAGTCACCAACAGAAACAAGAGCTCTGTTCACAACCTGCTTTTACACAAAACTCAGTTAGCATTAGGAATTAGAGATTCTCATGAATCCACACAAGAGCCAATTCCTCGTGCAAGAAAAAAGGTCATTTAATAGCATAGTTACACAACTGCAGGATTTCATAAAGAGACTGCTGCACATCCCAGCCATTGGAACTGAGCCATTAAGACAAGAACCTGCTCTTCAGTGTTCATTCAGCACTCAGTTCTTGGAGAAGACTCAATACAAATCTCACATGCCTCCCCAGAAGACTTCTGGCCCTTTATAAGGGACAGTATGAACACAGGGAGCACTTAGTCAACAGCCTGCTCAGATCATGCACTTACCTGTCTACTGAGCTGCTATGGGAACAGCAGGTAAGTCCTACTGCAAAAGCAGTAACATGAGACAATCACTGCTCACACCACGTACTGGTTTGCCACACACACCAGTACCAGTGGAAGCTCCAAGTATTCCTGACTACATTCAATATCTTGGCTTTCAAAGCTGCCAGCTGAAAATGGTGATCCCAAAAGCAGTACATGAGTCCCCACCACCACTTCCTGCCATTTTGCCAAAGCCTTCAGAATGCCTTCAGGTAGGCAGGGAGATCATCATCAAGAAACCATCACAAGCAGCTCACAGAAGCTGGCCATGCAGGGTGACCTGACTTGGAAGGGATCTCACTACTGAGCTCAAGAAGGAGAACAGTATGAGAAAAGCCACAAGCTCTCTGCACTTCTCCGGCCAGTTCTAGTACACTGTCCTCCCTCTGGATGGCACACAGAGCTTTCAGCCAGTCCTTCAAAGTTAACACAACACAATAAAGTGGTTTTCCCATCACCTTATGCCTTCAGAACTATCTCCAGAACAGAGTTTAACCTTGTGACAACTTCCAGCAAGCACAGGCTTTTTGGTTAACCAAACGGACCTGGACGAAAGGACTGGCACAGGTCACTGCCAGAAAATACTTGCAGAAGACTCAGCTACAGGCAATTTCTGTGTAAGTTTGTATCCAATACAGAAGAGGCTTGGCAGGGTAAGCCTGCTACTTGAAACCGAAAGCCCTAAAGGATTCTCCTTCCATTTCAGAGGAAATCCCCTGCTTAATTTCATGCAAGGAGTCCTTTGGTCATCAGACTGGCTGCTGACTTTAGACATGAACTGGATTTAGCAAGGAGAAGAGTAGGAGCCCATTTGTGCCTGCTGCCACCAGCACTCAGCTGTGAGCACTGCACACACCCAGCTGTGCTTCCAACTGCAAGGCAAACACATATAGCCAGGTGCCCCCAGAGCAACTGAAAATCAAAATGCAAAGCAGAACAGCAGCACTAATTGACGGAAAGTTACAAGTTCACCTTTTACACTGAGCTTTAGATTACAGTACCCACAAGTCAGTTCCTTAAAATAAAAACAGCCTTTAATAAAACCCTTTGGAATGTGTTTTAGTAATTAACACAAGTTACACAGTGACACTGCAAGACCTTCTTTCTCTTCAGAATACACCTACAGGCACAACAGATGCTGTGCGTGTTGGAGCAGGAGGTAAGCATCGCATCACTTGCTCCTGTCTGAACGTTTGATCTGCCCAAGAACAGGGAGCAACAGGAAACTCTGACAGAATACTCTCCAAACAGAGGAGGGGAGAGACTAGCAACATCCCAAAAGCTACTTTTAATATTGGGAACATGTACATCACCCCCCTCAGCTAAGAACCACAGTCTCCCTTCAGATTTTGGTATGATGGCAATGATTATGTCACAAATCACAGCAACCTCAACAGAATTTAGGCCAGCAGCATAGATGACAGAAAACAGGATCTAACAGAATTAGGTATTAAGGAAAAGCCCATATTAACTTGCAAGTTCACAAAGGATAAAAGCCATACATTTTCAAGTCCTCCACATTCAAGAGAAAGACTAAAGAAATAACTACCCGCAGGCAGGCTTGTGAAGATATTTTATGTTTAATACATCTGAAAAGAATGCATATACAAAGAACTTAGACATGAAAAAGCATTGGTTCAACACTAATGAGTTGACAAGAAATTGGAGTTTGGGAAGATGGAGAAGATTCCCTAAGTCTTTTCCCTAAAAGAAAAACAATTTAACTTGCAAGTCAAAATGTGGTTTTTGGTAAAGTCCCTACAAATACTGCTGTCTACGCAAAGATCCTGCACACAATCCTTGTTGGGCTGGAACCCATCTTACAGCTTCAAGGTTACTTAAAATGGAGAAAAAGGGGATTCCCTCAACTGGTCCCTGCATGGTGCCATGCTGAACACTAGGAAACCCTCCCCACAGTTCCTTCCTACTGACAGGTCTGTCTTTCAACCTCTCCTTGAAGGATGCCAAACCTTTGTAGGGAGATGCACCACCAGGGCCAGCTCTCATTCCAATACATGCCAGGTTCTTTCAGTGCATCCAAACAGCAGTGGATGTGCTGATCATTAGAAGCATTTCCTCAAATAAGAAAGGATTGGCAAAAAGATGGGCTTGTTAAAAGCCAACTGAATCAGTTGGGCACGCTTTAAAAGGTGCAGTTATTTCTTCATCACGTGACCAAAAGCTCATGAAGTGACTGACAAGTTAGTTTCCAAGTCTGATGGTGCATCCAGGGAAAAGGATTCTTCTGTTCCTAAAACTTTATAACTTAGAGGACGGGGCAGAAATTTATGACTTGCACAGTGGGAAGCCAGGAGGAGAGAGAGAGAGATACAAGGCAACTTCAGAGGAAATGCAGATACATTTTCTACACTCCTCCTTAGAGGAGCACCAGCTTGGGACATCTTACTTTCCTGTATTTGTCTTTAGTATGAAAGGCTGTTCACACACGGGCTGCTGGCTGGCTGCAGAACAGCCCTAGGAGTTCCTGAAACCAGAACTAAGTCTCGCCAGACCGGCAGAAGGGGCAAGGCTTCAGTAAAACAGCCTAGAATTAGTCTGTTACAGAAAAAAGTCATGACAAGCATGCCTGGATTTTAAACAAAAAATTAGAAACAGTAAACAAAATAAAAAACTAGTACTGATCAGTGTTTTCTGATACTACGTAATTACTCAAAATTAACTAGTTTAACTGAATTGAGGGGACACTGGGGAATAAACACTAACATTCTCATCTCACACAGGGATCGTGTGGGGGAGATGGGAGTGCAGGGTATTTGTCATTATTGCAAAAAACAAATTTTAAAATTTGTATCTTTAGTTTGATTTAAACATTGCTTTTAGTATGACATCAAACACCAGCTTTGCAGAAGGGGCTGTGGAGGGACGTTCATAGCAGCACACACCTGCGAGTCTTCTTCGGCTCCGGAGGCTCCAGGGCAGCCAATATCGCCTCATCAAATACATTCTTTAGGCCTTTCTGAAAAGGGGCAAAGAGAGAAAGGGGCAGTCTCATTTTTGAGTTCACACAAACAAAAGCAAGGAGAGTCAGGTGGCAGACAAACCCCTCCAGTGAAGGATCCCGATCTGACACCCAGACCCCCCACGTCTCCTTTGCTCAGCAAGGGTCTGCCGCAGCTGCACTGCTGCTGTCAGCAGTTCCTTATCACAGCATCTGATCTGCTGAACACGAGCACAGTGCTTAAAAAATAGACCAGTACACTCCACAAGAAGCAAACACACGTACCGAAGTCATTTCCTTAAGGCAGTTTTTTATGATTAGTTGGGCAGTGACACATCTCACATGCTAACAACAAAGCAGAAAGTGCTGCATTTGAATGGAAGAGCTCTATTGGAGCACGCCGAGCACAGCAGGGCAGACACCGGTGTGTCAAGGGGAGAAGAGGAGACAAGGCAAGCATGCAATGATCAAACTGGTCCAGGACACGCTCAGGGCAGGATTCTGGCCCCACAAACCCGTGGTTAGAAGCAGGCAGGTAGAGCCCAGAAGCTGTGCATGGTATCAGAGTCGAAATGGGAGGAGTACAAAGCAGGGACACTGCACAGGTGTTAAACTGAAGCCAGGAAGAGCAAATCAGAATAAAGCTTCATCAGTCATTTATACAAACAACCGCAGTTTTTAATTTCAAAGTTTAAAGAAACTACAATTGACGTTATTCTCCTTAAAACAATAAAAATCAGAAGCGTAAGAGTAAGAAGCAGCTTTACATCTTACAGTAACAGGGTTTAAGAATCTATTACTGAAACGTTCTATTGTGTTAGTGAAAGCAAGAGAGTTTTAACAGTTCATAAAGCAGTAGCAAATACATTGATATTTCCTTCCCAAGGACTTACAAATACTCCACTACAGCACAGACAGCCAAAGCAATTGCAACAAAAACATCTCACTGCACAAAGGAGAACCAGAAATTCCTTCACATTACAGCATCACTTGCAGATCACCGTTCCATGTACTTTTGTCATGCAATTACATTTAACAAGAGTCACAAGTAGAAACTGAAAACACGCAACGCTTCTTCCAGCTGGATTCAGGAAGATCAAACATCATGTCTTATTCTTTCAATCTTTTTCTTATAGAGGAATGATGTAATCAGATCCTTTCCCCCAACAGCCTGAATTATAAAGCTACCCACATCTGGCAACCCAAGCAGCAGAGAGTTAAGCGAGTCCAGTTCACGTTCCATGGTCACAATGTTTTACTAAAGATTTTAAGTACTGTCATCAGTCCAAGAGCTAATACAGACGTTGCTCTAAAATGGTAAGCAGACAACAGCTTTCAATAGAGGTGGCTTTATTCGTTTTTAACCAGGTTTCTACAGTAGTGGGACAGAGGAAGCAGCAGCAAGAGGGGAAGGAGAAAGTTTAGAATATACAGCACTTCCTTTTGGGCTGAGTTTCCGGAGGCTCGAGGGCAGCTAGGATAGCCTCATCAAACACATTCTTCAGACCTCTCTACAAGACAGAGGGGAGGAGAAAAAACAGCAGCCAGGTTAGAGGATTAGAGAAAAACAAGCAGATACAAAGAGCATTCAGGATAAGAGCAGGCTGAATTCACACAGGCAGTAACAAGATTTACTTTGCAAAAAACAAAGTAGATCCCAGGAAGAAATCTCCTTTAGACAACCCAGAAGCAAAAAGAGAGAGATAGAACATGTGACAGACCACCAAGTTAAACAACATGAACACCCAAAAGGGCAGAGGCACAAACACAGCAGCAGTTGGCAAAGCCACGTGAGGAAGGAGCTGCTCAAAAACTTGCGTTCTCCCCAAAGTGCTGAAAATACACTTGGTGAGATCAGAGGGGAACAAACACACAGGAGAACTGTGTGCCCCACCGAGTGCACCTCCATTGGCAGTGACCTACTGTAAGTGGCCATGGCAGGTGCATGGATTCACTGCTCCCACCTACAGCTGCAGCCAGATCAGAGCAAAGGCTCCACATCATTCTGCTTTGTGAATTCAGCCCTGAATAACTGAAGAACTCCAGACAGCAGGGAAAACACAATCTGGGATTGAAGCGGTACCTCTCTAAGTAAGCCACTGTCATCTTCAGACACTGGCTACTCAGTCACATACAAAGTGATGCAATACCTTACCTAACAGCCAGCTACAGGAACAATGCGTTTCAGTTATTCAGTTAGTTATTAAAGCAAGTATAACCATTCAAGTCAAAGGAAAACAGACTCTATGTTAGGACTGGAGTAACCGATATCCAGCACTACACAAGCAGTCAGAGCTCTAAGAGGTCTGCAGGGATTGCATCAGAGCACAAAACATGCCTTGCAGTTACTGTAAGCACAACAAGACCACCACAGTACATCAGCACTCCCACACAGCTCTGCCAAGTTACACGTGAACACCAGAAGTGAAACCTGGCTCAGTTTATGCTAACTGGACTCGCCTAAATCTACTGTCACCAGTACAACCTTTGTAACTTCTGAAGAACTGCTTTATGTCAGCCAAAGAAGAACAGAAAAGCTTCAATTACTTCCTGCAGACATTTGTGGCATTTGTAAATATATATATTTTTTAAACATCATTCAAACAAGAGGTTAGTTCAGACACATCCCTTTCAGCAAGTCTTTTACTGGAGCACTTACACAGGAGGTCTCTAAGACAATTCCATCTGGAAGCATTTATGTCCAAGTTACATGCAAGCTTATTAATTTACTTTTATTAAGTATATGTACAATTCTGTACATTTTCTCCAACGTGTTTTAAGAGTTGCAAGCTACACTCAAAAAAAGTTAGAGACTTCAAATTGATAATGTCTAAATGCAGCCTGAGTACTAGTTAGATTTTCCCTCTGAGGATAAGGCTATAGTACAGACCCAATTATGTAACAAAGAACCCAAAAGAGCAAGAGTTGAGAAGATAACACTTTTTTTTTTATTTACTACTCTTGGACTCCTCCTTTGCTTTCCTAGTACAGAAAAACAGGGATAAATGATGACAAAAAAGGGTAAAATTACTGTGAGAACTGGACTGGAGACAGAAGCCTGGATGACAGAAGAGCGGGCACATGAAAGGAGCTGTGTTGGGTCTGACCAGCCCACAGGCCTTGACACTCTGGTTGAAGCAGCACCACTCTGGGCTGCAGCAGCGAGCCAGCTGGGCTCTGGCTCTCTTTATCCCCACTTCCTCATGGGAAATTTAAGGGCCCTCACAAATCTGTTTTTGTCAAAACCATCAGCTGTGCTCAAGCCTAGCACCAGAAAAAAGGAACAAAATTCAAAGTGTTCCCTTGTGCTCAGTAGCCACATAGAGCTACAGGAAGCTACTCGGATGACAGAAACAACAACAGATTTTATTCGCAAGTCCGTCACCCTGCCCTAAAAAGGAAGTGTCATCTACTTCTGACAGTGGTGTTTGGCTATTATTTTGTAGGAAAAAGGCTGAAGGCATCAGTACTGACCTACTTCAGTGCTTTCATCACAAAAAAAGCACTATACCTAAAGAAAAAAATGTTGGAGAGGGAGGGAAGCCAGTTCACTCTTTTCCACTGCAGAGTCATCCAGACTCACGATGGTGCAGATACTCTGCCTTTACAGAACAGAGTCAAACTCAGCCTCTTAGGGTTCACATATTGTGTTCAGAACATCTGACTGTTCCACACAGACAAGTGAAATCTTAAATCCTGGGGAAAACAAAAATAATAGCTCTGTAATTTTATGATTATTTACTACTCTTGTGAAGTCATTTGCAAGTTAGTGGGAAGGCAGAAAACCTCAGACAGCTGAGATGAAGTGTGGAGATGGATGCCAAGGTAAAGAGATAACTGGAATTACCCAGCTGAACCTAGCTTCACTTGAAACCAACTACTACAGCACTGCCTTGCAGGTAGGAAAACAATCCTCCAGGCTACAACAGCCAGCTACCCTCTGTGCTCAGCAAGCCACCAGCTACATCTCTGCTGGAAACTTCAAACATCCCCCCTTTGCAGACATCTACATTTCTGTTTGGCAGCTATTACCAACAGGCTGAGTAAGAGATGTTTTGCAGGGAAGGTCAATGACAAATGAAGTAAAAAGAGCAGAGCAGAAGGCTGACTAATCTTTCAGGTGAAAAAGCCTCAGAATCATCCTATCAGATTATTCCCAACTTCTGAGACCACTACTGGGTATACAGCCACTAGAGTGCTCTGGAGGAAATTCAGGCTGAGCTTCCAAGCGCATAAAACTGTTCTCTGCAACTGATACACTTAATTTATCTGGAAATTAAAAGAAGAGGTAAAAAATTAAATTGTTATATCAGCCCTTCTAATAATTTCAGGTGCTTCCATGTAATTTGAACAGATTGAACAAGGCAAACTTAAAGATCCAGAGGAAAGGGCAAAAAATCCATTTCACCAACAAGTATGTTCCACAGTCTAGCCAGCAGCAGCATTCAGATTGTGCAACTGACATCATGTATAGCAGGATGCCTTGCCACAATACTTCCAGGGCAGTGTCCCACACATCCCCTCAGAAGGCTGTTCTCAGTTTGGAAAAAAAAAAAAAGCTTCAGGATGCCAAATGGAAAAGCCACTGTGCAACCTGGGCAGAAGGTGCAAGGGAAGCAGAACTTCAGGCTTGGAAGCTCAGCAACAAAGCTTTGTGCTCAAGATACAATAGATCAGTGTAACAAAATGACAAAGAATGACAAGCTTGAATCTGTGCACCTCTGGTTTGTGTACATCAAGTAGGTACTAATTCTTCACAGAGGAGCATTAAATAAACTGCTAAGAGTTGTAATATATCGTGCAGGAGTGGACACAAAAGATTATGTTCCCAGGGCATCCAAAGACAAAGTAGATCCCAGCTAGCCAGCCAACACTTAACCACTCTCCCCACACTAACTTAAGGGGAAAAGACTGCCAGGTTTTGGTGCCTCAAGTCAGCAATTTCAGTTGTTTTTAGACTCATTTTCACACATTAGTTCACAGCACAGCCACGTTTGTATCTTAAGAACTATATGATTAGTATTCTCTGTTTCAACAGAACTTCCATCTTAAGGCATACAAAGGAAACAGATCACCATAGACTAGGTGGGGAGAAGAGAAAGGAAGCTCTAAAAAGGAAGAGAAAGAAGCTCTCAATTAGGAAGGCTTCTATTCATAGAAGGAACAAAACTTACTTCACTAAGACAGAAACTGAGATCTTTTTTTTCCTTTGACTGCTCTCTTCAGTTGTGAACTGCATCCTAATCCACTTACTGTCTGTAACATGCCTTCTAAGTTTTAGATAACTACTTTGCTCCAACACAAAAGCAAACCCAGCAAGCAAATCCTTCACCTCCCCTCTCCACTTGTGCCTAAATCTTCACAGGCTGATTCGCTTTGTACCACTGCCAGCTCCTCGTGCCTGAGAACAACAGGACAGAGAAAGCTACTGTGTCAACAGGAGAAATGAAGCTCACATCCTTTCACATTCATTCCGAGCTGTTTTTCTCCTGTAATTGAAAAATATATGTGTGTATATATATATATATATGAAATACAAACAAGCAGAAATGGTCAAAGACCAACTCTTACCTGCGTAAGCGCAGAGCACTCCACGTATTTAACAGCCTTCAGGTCCCGGGCCAGTTTTTCGGCTGTCTCTGGAGTTATGGGCTTCTGCTTGTTCTTGGCAAGTTTTTCAATTGTTGAGGGATCATCTCTTAGATCAATTTGAGTCCCGACAAGCAGGAAAGGAGTCTTTGGACAATGGTGAGTAATTTCAGGTACCCACTAAGGAGAGAAGATACAGCATTTATTAATGACCACCTAGTCAAGATTAACACTTTAGATATTACTGAAATCACAGCAGCAGCCCCTTCTCAGAACACAGGCAGAGTTGAACCAACCTTTTCTTTCACATTTTCAAATGAAGAAGGAGATACCACTGAAAAACAGACCAGAAATACATCTGTCTGTGGATAGCTGAGGGGTCGTAATCTATCATAATCTTCCTGACCTATAGGGGAAAAAATTAACACAGTATTAGAGGTAGACAGCAAAATATTGCCTTTTACAGGTTGTCAGAATACACATTCCAACACAAAAGCATTATTGTGAGTAGTTCTAACTCTTAAGCAAATACACTGAATCCAAACATTCAGAGAGCCTAGTATTCAGATACAGAATTCATTCAGTTGCTATGTAACAACAAGCTGCTTAAAGTCACAAGAGAGAAAGGAAGGTCAGCAGTGTGCCCTAATAAATTCTTTTTAGGTCAAGCAGCCTCAGACTGCAGAATGTAAATCTAGCTTTAAGTCAGGTCTTCTGCACCTACTCTAGCCATAAAATACATTTTGACATCAAATTTCATTAACATGCAGAAACTAAAGTTTCAGAAGCAATTTTGCTCCCCAGGAGATCCCAATTCACACTTGAAAACATTTAGGGAAGTGTTCTTTGAACAGTAAGAGAAGAATGCTGCTGTTACAGGTGTGGGAGTAACAAGGCTGCCTAGCAGCCATCCCCTAAAAATATACACAGGGCAGGCTGTGCTTCAAAGGAAGCCAAGCTGTTCCCTTTTGATCTGCACAACAGACAGCAGCAGTCCCTGCAGCACACCACTAGCATTGACCCACTAAACTCTGCAGCAGCTCATTTTTACACCTGCTCAATTCAGTACCACTCTTACAGAGCAAAGCAAGGCTTCCATTTAAGGAGCTGCCAACCAGCTGAGAAACATTTGTTCAAAAAACACTCAGATTTCAACTGAGTCTCATGTTTATCATACAGGACAAAGACCTCAGAGACCTTAAAGGAACTGACCGCACCTGGGACGTCTCAGTGTAAGATCTGTAGTTTGAAGATGGAGACCTGAACAGCTTGTGACAGCTACCGTACTTCTCTGGACACACATGGGAGCCAAGCACAGACCAAAACAATTTGTTGCAATTAAAAGTACCCCCCAAAAAGCTATCTTCACAGTAGAAAGTTTTTACAATACATCAGTCATTACTATGGGTTTTATTCATTTAAGTTATGTAGCTTGCACTAGTAGCTGCAGTTTATTAAGAAGATGGGTGACCCCCAAACCAGCAGCCCTTTAATTTCACAAGCTTGGCTCCAAAAGGAAAGCTTTTATTTTCCCAAGTACATCAAGCTATATGCCCTAAGTCATTTGGCTTCTTCTCCACAGAGCATCTTATCCAAGAACTATGGAGTTTGTAATAACATACAAACCACGCTTCTGAGAACAATGTGAAGAGTAATTAAAGCCATAGCACTTAACTGAAGGACAAGATCACATCAGTAATTAATAAAACACTAACAATGCATCAGTAAGAATACAGCTGGAAAGAGTCACTTTAAGTTCTACCAAGGCAATTTTAGGCAATACTTTACCAGCCAAGTTCTCTGACAAACAATAGTTTGCAATATCAGAAGTTGTGTACTGCTCTGCTATTATTACATGCTGGGGACTGGACAAGTCCTGGGTAAGCTTCTACCCACTCTTGTTAAGTTCTCATGCTTGCTAATAAACACAGATAGCTGTGTAATCACTGTACGTTACTCAGCCATGAACTAAATACAGTCTAATAACAATGAACAAAGAAACCTGCAGACTCTTCCCTTTCACAGAAGAGCCAACTTCTGCTTCTTCTGATATACCTTTATGGTCAACATCATTTCAGCTAAATCTAGGGCAGTTACAATGACACGAGCACTCAATTTCTCACCTGCAGTATCAAAGAGGCCTAGAGTGTAAGGCTCTCCTCCAATCATCACCGTTACAGCATAGTTATCAAAAACCTGTTCAGGAAAAAAAACATTTAAGAGCAGGTCAGTATGCTATCTTTCAAACCATCACACTACTTACCATGTTGAGCCCCCTCTGATTTATACAAGATTCATCTCAGTGGGACAGAATCCATCATGCTTCCTGCACTGTCACTGAGGCTGTTAACAGGATGATTCCATTTGTGATACGGATGCAAGAGTTATTTCCACACTTTCTCTAAAGTAAAGGCACACCAGATACACTGCTGCATCTAATACCATAAAAGCCACTGAACAAAACACCTGTAACAGCTCTTGCCTGTAACTGAGAAGATCAAGCCACAGCATCTGTGTAGTAGCTGGCACAACAGTTCCATCCACAAGGTCACAAGCACGCACTGCATCAAGTGTTTCACCCAGCAAATTGTTTACAACACAGCTGATCACATGCTCCTACCCAAAGCCTTTTTCTTTTAAACCTGCAAACTCATTAAGGAGTATACTGCTGGAGGTCAACATTAATTTCAATGACTATTTCATCTTCAGAACCAGAAAAAAACGTTTCAGAAGCTATCTTCATCAAAAGCTTTTCCCCATTGGAAAAAAAAAAAAGCTGTCTCTGCACATCGTGCTGCAAGTGACCTATCTGAGCAAGGATATGAAAGCTTCATAGCCGTCAACACAACAATCAAGCCTGAGCAGCTTCCACAGCTGAACTGCAGAATTAAAGCAGGTCACAGTGAACTCAGCAGCTTTCCACAGAAGCGATGGAAGGAGGAACGCTGAGAAATGAGCTGTCACACACATATTCACAAGGTTTCATTACAAGCTTAGGCCCTTGAACAATTTCCACTAAGATATGGCACTAAGACTAGCAAGACAGCACTTCAAAGCTGAACTTCGATGAGTTCAGATCCGTCTCCTCTCCAGCCAACTGCTCTGGTTAAAGCAAAACCTGCCACTACATTGATTTTTCCAACTTGTTACAACCCACTGTGACCCAGAAGGAAGTTATACATCCCCAGAACCATCAACTGGAACTGGAAGTTTCCCTCTCAAACAGTTATGGCTTAGCCTTCAGGATTTAAGGACTGCAAGAGACTTCAACATTCACATCCATTACCAGCAGCCCAATCCTTTGACACACTACCCTGATTTTGCTGTACTGCACCCTCCTGTGAGCATCCAGCCACAGGGTAAGACCTTCAGGGTGTGAAAGAAGGCTGCAGGCATCTCACAGGCACATTCCATATGCAACGACCACTACTTCAACACTCCAAAGTACAAATGATCCAAAGGATCAGAAAGTGGTATGCTCCTCACTGGAGGTCAGAGCACCGATTCTTTGAGATGTCAGAGGATTATTACAATCTTAAAATCCCAAAGATATTCCTTAATCAGCACTCCTGCTCTGGCCTTCTACTATTCCCTCATCTTTACCCAGTGAACAGAGAGTTTAAGTTGTTAAATGCAGCTGCCCCTTAGGAGGATTAGCATACTTAGCTTTTTACACTTGGTTTTTGTTTTTAAAAGTACAGCTAGAATTGAGAAAGTCTGTGGGTCCAGCACTGGAGAGGCCAAGGTCAGCTCCTCATGACAAGCTTGCAAACACCACAGATCTAGCACAACCACCATTTCATTCTCAACTGTGCTAAACAGCCTAAAACCCAGAGCAGCAACAGTCCAACAAGAAGTTTCAGTTCCTGCTGGTACCAGACAGCCCTCTACAGCAGGAAGCTCAAGCTTCCATGTTACAGAACTCACACCATCTACCATTCCCCAGACACTGATGGTGCCACTGCACACACAAGATCCTTGCTGCCTTTTTTGAAAAGGGAATGATGTCAAAAATATGCATGCGATAAACTCCATACCAGCACAAAATCCGTATCCCCCTGGGAAATACCCTTGAGAAAGAAAAGCAAAACAGAACCAACTGAAAGATCCTATCAGACTGAACCAGCAGCTGCAGAGTGCAGGTACAGCCAAGCAGGGCAACAGCACACACAGCTTATATCAGAGCCTTCAGTAGCTACATGTGCAGAACAGATCAGTTTGAAACCAGACTCAGACTTACAGGAGCACCCTCACCTGCTACTAATTGCTCTGTGCCCTGTATCACAAGGCTCTGCCTTCACTTTAGAACAATACTACCTGTTACATTTCTTTTCCTGTTTATTACTACAAGCATTAGCCAGAATATCAGACCTTACTTACCAGTTCTCAGAGTCTGAAAGAAGCCTTTAAGCCAGAGTTAGCAACAGGCCTGTGATATTCTCAGAACACTGAGATTCTCAAGACAAGGTTCAGGAGTAAATACAATTTCAGAAGCATGGGATAGTTTTAAAAAAGTATCACAACTGAGCCTTAGCACATCGTGAACACACTTAAATGACACATAACTTGATTTCTTTGAGTAGCTTTTCCACATTGCCTATGACCAGGGGTTTATAGATGATACTACCATCTGCAGGACAGCAGACTTGAAATGTGTACTTTGAAACCTCACAAGTTTAAGATTGAAACATTTTTGAATGTAATGAAGGGTAACTTCACTGGGGAAAAATATAGAAGTTCCAGGCTCACTGCTGAAACTCACTGACCACTTTAATTTTGTCTTGACCATAAAGACTAGCTTAAATAGGGCAAGCAGACTTCCATAAACTCTGTGTAGCATGTGGTTATCCTAGAAACAACATAGCAGGTTTCTCTGCACCACTCGACAGCAGTAAAGTGCAGATTCAAACACAACCAGTCCCCTGCTAGTCCTTAACAGGAGGATCTCTGCAAAAGGCTGTGCCTAGATACAGCACTCAGGCTGGTCACTGCATTCAGGCTTGGGGATACTTGCACCACTTCCTTTTCAGCACCAAATCCACAACTAAGCTCACAAAAAAAAAAAAAAAAAAAAAATCAATCCTGTTCCAAGGAAGCCTCAAGTTTAGCAAGCTGAAAAGTCTTCAGAGAATGGTCAGAGACAGCAACTATCACAGAAACTTCCTGCAGCTTCTCTGTCACAAAAATGATTTTTTCCCCTTTGGCTTGGTGGGTTCCTTTTTTTGTTTGCTTTTACACAAAGTATCTGCTGTTTTGAAAGAGGCGTCATGAAGAACCCAGCATCTCAAAGGAGTTCTGTTAAGTTGCTTTGTAACAGCAGAAAAGCCCAATGACCCTAAAAACAAAATGAACATCCCACTGTCAGCATGCTAATCCTACATAGGCAGTATTAGAGCAACACTTCTCTATCAGAAAAATAGATATGGAGGGGCCACGCAGTCAGACCGTTCTAACCTCGATCTTGAGACAAGCCAAGGGATTTGATATCTCAGAAGACTGACACTGTAAGACTCAAAAAGGTTATGACAAGCATTACATGAAGACAGAAATAGAAGGAATACATACAAAGCTGTTAAATATCTGTATGCACAACTGCAATGAGACTGAACACTCTAGATTCAAACAAGACTTCAGTTAAACATGAGTAACCACACACTCTGCAGTACACTGCACGATCTCTCAAAGCAGCAAAGCAAAAATCAGCATCAAAAACAGTAACTGTGGTCAGTAACCATCCTAGCAGCATGAAGTACTATTTTCCCTAAAAGTAAAGACGTGGCTACAACAGAGCTCAGCAAGCTGGACATAAGGAGTTCCTGCTGCCTGCCCTCCACTTTGCACTTTTAGCAACTGCAGATATCTGATTCACAAAATCCAGCCAGTGGCCACCAACAAACCGCAGCCAACACCCTACAAAGGGCTCAAACAGCAGGAACTGACTGCACACATGGAAAGAATCCCAGCACCACCAGGTGATAGCAAGGATCAGTAGCAGCAGCATAACAGACTCGCATTACTTTTCCACGGTGTATTAGCCTGCAACAAGCTGAAGATACAGATCTTAAGGTGTTCATGCCAGACAACTTCTTTTGAAAGGAAACTCATGTTGCACAACCCGCCGTGCCCCAAGAACTGGAGCCATTCTCACACTCACCGTTGGTACGTATTCCGATGGAAATTTATTTGTTGTGTAAGAAATTAAGAGACAGGTTTTACCAACAGCACCATCACCCACAACTACACACTTAATCGTCTGCATAGCTGAAGTCTGCTACAGTATCAACTCCAACGTGAACCTGAAAGGAAAAAAGAAAAAAAGAGATTTAGGTTTTTCATTCCCCCTGGATTGCAGTATGTGTCATTAGATAGCTTCAGCTGGAGCACAAGCCACTAACAGGATGTGCTAGGATCTGACAGGAAGGTATTCCTACACGAAGTAGTTGATGCAATCACACCATTGCACACAGAAGACGTTCATTTTCATATATGCAAATTCTTCCAAATAGCTAGCCTTTGCCAAATACCAGCTAAGGCTAAGTTTGGCACAGTCACTTCTCACATTGGGAAGAATCGGGTAAGATAAGTCACTCTAAAATACAACATATTTTTTGCCTGATTACCTAGAGCTGGGCAGAAAAGGTCTCTATGCCTTTCAGTCAATTTCTGATGCACAAAAGCACCTAGCCTTACATGCACTGAAAAATAGAAGTACGAACTTGGGTCTCGATAGCTGCTAAGTAACATATCTCCCAAGAGATCTTACCAAGGAAATACAGCAGCATGAGCTCTGAAAATAGTTTGCAGGATAAAAATAAGCAGGTACAGATAGAAGCATGTACTGTTTTTTTCAAAGGCGAGCTCTGTAATCTTCATGTTACAGCTGCCACTTCACCTGTGCCTTCATCCCCACTCAGAAGTGGCTAACAGAACAGAGGAGTTCAGCAGGGCACCCATTTCTAAGGGAATCCATTACTCTCCAGATGCTACAGAGCCACGATGCAGCAAACTATATCAGTGCTGCTCCTGTACAGATTTGAGCACTGTAACTAAACGGGTACTTTCCACCAATACTTCCTCCAAACCTCAGGTGGCTACCTCCAGAGCCGTCCTTCATTAAGCTATTGCTCTAACGAGTAAAATTACCAAGCCTTCAGTCATGTTACTATATAAGAGTATGAAATCCTAACCCCAGCAAGCCTAATGGCAAAGCTGCCAATACTTTCAAACATTTCCATATTATTTACACAAACAGCAAGGATTTGCTTACAGAGATATCCTCCACCAGGGTGTGGGATACAAGAACCTCGGGGCTGCAGCCTCACCTCATCATTCTGCCTTGTGCACTGAGATCAACTCCATCAACATAATGACTGCACATGAAAATGGCACCCGTTCAACACAAAACACAGCTGAAAACAAGGTCCTGGTTAGGGAGCTGGGATGTACTATCCTGGAATCCACTCTTCCACAGGAAAATATATGAAGATGTATGCATCAAGTTGTGATGTGAAAAACAAATAGTCCAGCGTGAGATAGGCCTGCAGAATAACTCATCCCCAGAGGGAATGCTAACGAAGGGAGGAAAAATTACAAAGTTTGTTTCCTCCTCACAAAGCGCCCATTAACAGCAAGTCTACATACAGGGCACCCAGCAGGACAAGATAGTAGTTTTGAATACCAGAGGGAATTGAAACAGGAGTGGAAAGCACTGAAGTCATCCCAGTCTACTTACTGTACTCAAACTGAGACATATAATTATGAGCCTTGCAGTTGGGTCTAGAGAAGAAAGCTGATAAAGTCCAGAAATATAATGCAATTTGAGTTAGTTCTGCTCAATAAGGCTTTTTTCAAACCTGAATTCATTTATTTCTTCAAATCTTTGTATTCTAATCAAAGGAAGAAAGAAAAAAAGCATTTCAGTGAAGCACACGTTAAGTGACTGCACGTCTAATAGCTGTTCAGTTTTATCCCATCCAACATGCAATTTCAAAAGGGAATCTCACAGAACTCAAGAATATCCCAGGAAACGGGATTTCTGGGAAGTGAGGATTACAAAGCCTGGTACATTTTGTCAAATTAATCAGTGGCCCCAGTGCAGACCCAAACAGCCCACATGTCAGAGTTTTGTTTAAAAGCTTGGTTACACTTTCATGAAAGACAAGTGATCTCCCTTTGGAATTACCCCCTAGAAGCAGCTAGTAAATGCAAGCGTTAGGATGAAGAATTAACTGAACCACCAAAGAGGGATTATATGTCCACACCAAGGAAAATGTGAAGTTTCACACATTCTCAGTGCAGGCCTGAACACACACCAGAAGACACTGCAGATCACGAAAGGCTGAAGAAATCCTACGTGAGGTGCCTATGGCAGCCTCCCATGCACAGGGCACCCACTGACAGCCTCAGCCCTTCTCAGGAAAGCCTCCTTCCCCCACTCTAACAGCAAGCACCTGAAGTGCAGCATCACTGACTGAAGCATCAGTGAGATGCTGTCAATCTTCACATACACTCAGTGCTCCCTACTGAAATGAGAAGCACAAACCATCTTGCCTTCACTCTCTCCATACAAGCTGTTTAATTGCTATAGAAGCCGCAAGTCCTCCAGCTCGTTAAGATTCCTTTTATTCTTAACCTACTGATGTCTGTTTGCAGGTTAAAACGCGTACCTTCTTCTAAGGCTAAGGAAGCTATGCTGTCAAATCTGTCTGCACATCCTGTACAAGCTTCCTGTCAAGCCATAGCAGCACCACGGCTTCCTCTTCACACAGCACTGAAGCTGCTGCCATTTCATCACCCACCGGCTAACGCAGCTTGCTGCAAGCTGCCAGCTGACAGCCAAGAACCATTTTGTGATGCTCCTCAGCGTGCACCACTGACACACAAACCTAAGCTCACCCAGCCTGCCACAAGGAGAAGTCTCCCAGATCAGGGGTATCAAAGCAATGTAATCAGCTACTAGGAGGTTTTCCTCACCAGAGAGGAAAAACCAGAGTACTAAATGGAGAAGATCCTAATTGCATGCCTGTTATAAACCCAGCCCAGCAAACACCATCCCAGAAATGACCATACAACACACCGCTTCTCTGTGCGGATAACAAACCACTGTCAACAGTCATCAAAAGACCTCAGAGCCCTCAGTGTTCCCTCTGTTCCGAGTACATGGTGCAAAACAGACTGAGGGCTAAACTCCAGAAATCAGAACTGATCTGAAGAGCGGCATTACCACGGCCAGCATCTTCCTCTGTATGTGAACTGCAGCCATTCCCTGGAGCAAACTAAAGTTTCCAGACCAATGTCCATCTTTCAGCTTCCCAGGAGCCTTCTTCATGGAGCAGAAGCAGCTGAGAAGTGACAGATGCGCCACTTCATGAAATCAAAAGGCTTTATTACACTCTAAACCACTTGGTGCCAAGGTCAGCTGCCCACCTTGCCCATAGATGGATCACTACAGGCACACAACGTATCCCAAATGTTCAAGCTGAGTTTATGGTTTGGGGGTTTAATTTCCCAAACACAGCTCAAAAAACAGTCTGACAAAATAAAAACCAGCACACAGCTGCACTCCTTCAAAACACAGCAAGTGCTCAAGTTTAAGGCAAAACATTAAAGAACAGGAGGGACTGACTTAAGAAACAATCCTGTATCACAACAACTTGAAACTACTACATCCTCTGAGGACTTTTTGGAGCTGCCACTAACAGTTCAGCCAGCCCTTAAAACCCAGCCTCAAAACTTACACTCTGTGAGGTGCTACTGTTTGTTTTAAACAGAAGTTGTTTCCACAGCCAAAAGAGCCGCTGCACTACAAAGTGCTATCAAGGCAACCACAAGAATTCTGGTGGAAATCCAACCCCCACCATCACCCAGAGGCTTGGTCAGAAGTTCCCAATGTGCAGTGAAGTAACTGGAGGTGCCACCTCCCACCTGCCCACAGCTAAGAGATGGAAATGCTCCAGCAGAACCATCCAGAGACACGGGACCACCAGCACAGATGGAGCAGCACTGTGACACCCAGGCCGATGCTGATCATGCAGTATCTGTTATTAGGGAACCATGTGCTCAACACAGAGGCAATAGGAGATCCCAGATACATACTTCAAGTCTGCCCCTTGACAAAGCCTATCTACCTCAAAGTCTCTGTGGTTTTGAAGTAACTTTTTTTCTGGACAAGTTACTATGAACTACCAAGGGGGAAGCTCAAGGTGTCACCTCAAAATGCAGCTCTTGGAGATTAACTGATATTTTCTATGCTCAATGCAACTTTCTGTAAGAACTGACAGCTACCCCACACTGCTTCACAAGGGCTCGTCACAACAAGCTGATGAAGTGAAGACATACACAAGATAGGAAGCGAATACAGTTGAGTGGGAGAATTTTAGAAGTCTGAAGTTAAACTATTACCAGCATTAACACCTTTCAAGTTCTACTACTTAAAAGAAAAAAATAAAAGACATTCAACAGCCATGCCACTGCACAGCCCTAAATTCAAAACAAGCCTGGTCAAGCAGAGCATGACTCAGTGGGCACGGCACAGCAAGGCTTCCGTCTGCTCACTGCAGCCTGCCCCACTTGGACCTCAAAGCAACCACCTTCACGTGAACTCAACAGAAGGAGGCAGAGGATGTCATCCTGTATTAAACCCTGAGAAATACAGGTGCTTATATTAAGTCCTTGTTTTTAGTCTTGAATTTTTACTCTCCACTAACTCTCAAAGCCCACAGACAGCTATTCAACCCTACTGTGCAATGAGATTTTGTTCAGTGCTTTTATACAATGTAAAGCACATCTATGTGTATTTGCTGAGCTTCACGCTGCTAACAGTTAAAGATGCAAGCTGTACCTCTGCTCCTGTCTGCATAACTAACGACTCATCACTGGGCACACCAGCCCCCATGCTCAACTCCCCTCCCTATAGCCAGATACATTTAACAGTGCTACAGCTGACACTGACAGCAGCACAACTGCTTTGGTGAGCATTTCTGCATAAGGGCAGCCACCCTGCATGCACATCAGCTGCACTGCTCAGCGAATGGTTCAGTTGCTGGTGCTCCATGCATACAAACTGCCCCAACACTGTCTGCAGGAAGCAGTGTGCTTATCTCAGGCCTATCAACAAGACTGCTGAGGACTGAAGAGATGATGCTTTGCTGAGAATAACATTACAGAAGAGACTTCTCATTGATGCTCATCTCCCTTGGCGTTCCTAAGAAAAGTAGCTGAAGCCAGAGGTAAAGTGACAGAGGTTGCCCCGCACTCAGCAAACGAGGAGCTAACTGACATGGCTGGTGCCAGCCTCACATTCTTCCTTTTCACGAGAGAGGAAGATGCTGGGAATTATGCCTTACCATTCAGAAAAAAATGGGGTAAATCTGCAGCAAAACAACTTAAAAACAGAAAGTCATTTTTAAAAGTTTTTCCCCACAGAAACTCAATGCTTTCATCTCACATTAGTGGGAAAGGAACTACCATCAGAACCCAGGGACACACACTGTCTTAATGCAATTTCTGTCACTTCTTTCATCTTCTGGTCACTTTGGCCACTTACCTTCATGCAGACAGAAGGGTGCTGTTATATGTTAAATCCTTAAAATACCATGTTACATGTATTCCAGCACAATGGGGTGACAGGAGAAATGGCAAAAGCCTACAACGCACTAAGTGTGTAAAGAGAGCACCTGCTAGAGTACTAGAAACCCATATCTCTTCCACTGAATGCACTAGCACCTCCCATCTTTGTTGGTTTTTTTTTTCCTCAGAAAGTGAGCATCAAGTGTGAGGATAATTCCACCCCCTACAATTCCTCCTGAAGGGCAATCACAGTAGAAACTTGGATGGCTGCAATTCATCATCAAGCCTATGGGCAGAGTCAAAGCTGGGCTGGCCACAGCAAGCAGGCAGAGGACTGAGGGGGCTGAAGTGTGCAAGTCTGTAAGTGACTTAAAAGCTGTGAGCACTCAGTGTGAAACAGATAACCAAAACTGCAGTAATGCATGTTCAGTGTATCGGACTAGTTCTCTGAAGCAAAGCTGGAACCCAACTACATCAATGTGCTGTATTAACTTTGAAGCCTGCAGTGCGACAGATAACTTCCAAAAAGATTTCAATTAAGATGTCCCAGCTGCCTGTGCTGGTAAGACTTGGAAACATATTTCAGTACAACAATTGCATTTCAACTAGAAGGAGCTTCTTATCGGGATTAGCAAACATTGTGCTGCACTCAGCACCAACTTATCATATTTTCAATGGGAAAGCAAAAGCACAGTTACACTCTCATCAGGAAAATCCCTACAAGTTTCAGTTGGGCTCCATTTCCATTTACCAGCCATCTTTCCAGTGAAAAAAACACTTCCACTGTTCTTAAGTATCTAAAGACACTTCTAGTACTTCAGGGCCTTCAGAACTTTTCTGTTTAACAATAAAGACACAACAAATTTCCACCTGGCCATCAGTCCTCAGCAAACAATTCCAAAGCAGGATATATAATGAACTGAAAGCATCAGGCACAGCTCATGAACAGCCAAGTTCAAAGCACACAAATCTAATGATTTAAATTTCTGTCTAAGACATGCTGGCAAACTGCAAACGTGTTTTATCCTGCATCACAGCCGTTTTTATTCCTCACCAAGCCTTAAAAATGCTTTTCCTCCTTATTACTGAAGCATATAAGCAGTAAACACACTGAACAAGGAATCATTTCACAATTAATAATATACTGATTCAAGTCTTACGCGTGTCTGCATTACCTGCTTCAGATGAATATTTGCCTACGCTGTCTGCCCCATCATCTTACAACAACAAACACTCGTTTACAAGCCAAAACAACACATTTTCCAGTTAGAGACACCTGAATACAAAGGCTATCTAAACTTGTTTCTGTGCAAGAATATCTTGCTAACCAGCAGAGCCAAGCTCCAAGTGCTTTACTGCCTTACTCCAACCAGTAACACTAGAAGCTTAACCCGGGTTTTAATTACTCTTCTAAAAAAAGGCAGTTTGGGGTGCTCCAATTTAACATTTTGAATAAAGCCAGCGAGGCCCTCTTTCTCTAGGGGAAAAGAAACACAAACGGATACAATCACAGATGCTCAGACCGAACTACTTTTGCCTACACATCTATCACAGCCTCCCACCCAGGCCTTGCCTTCGTGGTGCTCAGTCAGATGACGGGAGCAGAGCAGTGCTGGCAGATGGGGGCAGGCACCATTCTCAGCTCTGCCAAGCACAGGTTTCACAGCCACCTGGGCACAGCGTCCCGTTGTTGCCACCAGCTTCCAAGCTCCACCCGCTTGCAAGCAGAACGGTTATGGAAGGGGCATTAAAACACGCCGTTCTTATCTTCAAAAACGAAAGAGAAACGCCCATCCACAGCAACCCCCCAAAGAACCAACGGGACGGCGGATGACCCAGCAGCACCTGGGCGAGACAAAAGCCGGGGAGCGCCTCCCAGCTTCCTCGGGAGGAGGAGGAGAGGGAAGGAAGCGTTTCGCGGTGCCTAAAGCGAAGCCCGCACCCGCGCCGCGGAACCGCATCGGAGCTGGGCGTCGCTCCCGGAAGAAGCGGAGGCCCAACCTGCGGCACCCGACCTCCGCCTTCCCCTCCTCCCTCGGGCGGCCGGGCGGCACCGCGGGGCTCGCAGCCGGAGGCCCGCCGCTTCCTGCCGAGTGAGGCCAGGCCGGCCCCCAGCCGCGGCGCTGGGAGCGGAGCGCAGAGCAGGCCGGGCCGAGCCGAGCCGGGCCGGGCAGGCCGCGCTGCCCCATCCGCACACACAGCTCGCACGCACAGCTCGGCCCCGCTCTGCGCCAACAGCCCCGGCCCAGCGGCGGTGAGGCCCCGCACGCACACAGCGCAGCCCCACGGAGCGCTGCTCGCACACGGCCGGCTCCGAGCCCGCTCGCCTACCGGTCCGCCCTCCCCTCCGCGCTGCGGACGCGCGGTTCCCAGCCTCCCGCCCCGCTCCGGCGCTGCCGCTCACCTCAGAGTCTCCGCCGGGCGTTGGCGGCTCGCTGCGGGGTCTCCTCGGCTTCAGGCGCAGGGGCACGCTGCCGGTGACGTCATCACGCAGCGCTGGGCGTGGCGCGCTGTTGGTGACGTCATCGCGCAGGAACGCGGGTGCAGTGGGGCCGTTTGGGCTGGAAAGGGGCGCTGGCATCACGCAGCGCCACCAGTGCTAAACGTCGTCCTCAGTGCCGTGCCACGCATCCCTTAAGCACCCCAGGGCTGGGGACTCCCCTGAGCAGCTTGACTGACACCACTAAACGAGCCAATGCAAGGGAAAATACACCGGGCCTGATGTTAAACATGCTTCACAAAACTAGGTAATGCTAAGCAAATCATCCTCCATCTACTCCAGAAGCCTGGTGTATCATTATCTAAGGCAGCGTGGGGCCCTTCCCAGTATAACACTGTGAAACTGGATTCAAGAGGAGGGCAATGTGTGGTCATGGAGAGGATGACTGCTTACTTCATCTGTGAGGGTCCTGAGACCCCCGCACCAAACCACTGAGCAGGGAGGTGGGACCCTACGTTATACTGTATCATGGAATGGCCTGGGTTGAAAAGGACCACAGTGCTCATCCAGTTCCAACCCCCTGCTATGGGTCACCAACCAGCAGACCAGTTTGCCCAGAGCCACATCCAGCCTGGCCTTGAATGCCTCCAGGGATGGGGCATCCACAGCCTCCTTGGGCAACCTGTTCCAGTGTGCCACAGAATCACAGAATGGTTTGGGTTGGAAGGGACCTCAAGGATCACGAAGCTCCAGTCCCCTGGCACACGCAGGGCCATCAACCTCCACGTTTAATACCAGCCCAGGCTGCCCAGAGCCCCATCCAGTCTGGCCTTGAACATCTCTAGGGATGGACGGGGCACCCACAGCCTCTCTGGGCAGCTGTTCCAGCACCTCACCACTCTCTGTAAACAATTTCCCACTGACATCCAACCAAAATTTTCCCTCCCTCAACTTAAAACCATTTCCCCTTGTCCTGCTGTTATCTGCCCTTTCAAAGAGTTGATTCCCCTCCTGTTTGTAGGTTCCCTTTAGGTACTGAATGTTATTGAATATTGCTGAGCAGGAAACCTTTTGCACATGTAATGCAGATAATGTATTTAAGCTGAAGGTCTTTTGTTCAAGATATGTGTGGTAAGGGTGAAGATATCCACTCAGGGAGCATTGGGACACTCAGACATAGCTCTCACACAGCGTTTGAGTAGCAGGAGCCAAAAAGCAGTCTCCTGGCTGAAAGAGAAAACTCATTTAGATCAACTGAATTCTTAAGAGCCAGGAAGACCTGCTGGGCTTGTTGTGCAGCTCAGGAAGGCAAAGTGTTAGCAGCAGTAAGCCTGCGGTGCTGCCCTGCAGTGGGTAGCTGAAAACCATCTGATGAGGCTGAAAACCCCTCTGCCCCTCCTCTGATTTTGCTCAGCCCTGGTTCTTTGCCCTCAAAATGCAAAAATTCAAAGGTGCTGTAATGCTCTTGGTACATCAGGGAGATGTTTCCTGCACTCTCTGTCCCATCAAGTCATTATTAAACTCATCTCTTGGGATCAAAAGAAGACAAGGCTCATGTCAGCAAACATCAGCTCCAGGGAGCACAGCCAAAGATGAGCAAAGCCACTCTGCCAAGCACTATTGGCATCAGAAGCACATCTCCCACAGAGACTGTCCATCCCTGGGGCTTTTGGAATGAGCCGTTGGCTTCACATCCACTACTGCCCTGAGCGCTCATTGAAGAGCAAGGGGAGAGAAATCTTTATGAAATACCATGACTGGGTGCATACCTACCCACAGCCACTGCCTCCAGAGCCAGCAAGCTGCACTGTGCCACCTCTGCTGAGTGCAGCAGCACTGTTTCAAAAGGAAGAAGGGCTGTTTGCAAAGCTCTGCTCCTTGTTGCAACCACGTTTACGTAGAAAACACCTAAATGCAACATTTCCCGTGTCACTGAGTCCATCCTCAGCTTGCACATGGATTAGCTCTGTAAAGTCAGTGACCTGAGATGGAAAAGCATTAAATTAAACTTGGGTGCAGATAAATGTGACTGTGAATGGAAACAGGGGTCTCAAAGGAGGACCCTGATTTTTAACCTTTTGTACAGCAGATGAAACAGCCTCTGGTTTCCTTCCCTCCCTTTGAATGCAACCTGGCATACCCTCAGAAACAGCAGTGGTTGGAAAGGCAGCCAGGGTTCTTTTGCAAAACCCCATTTTTCCTTGCTATGATTTAAGCAGAAGCACAACATGAAAAACTTCCCCAGACTTGCAGAATCACACACCTTCAATGGTGTTTTCCGCAGTGAGTCACAAACATCTGCTGCCTCATTCAGTCCTCACCCAGAAGTTTGTTCACCTGAGACAGGCGCATGCATTCACCCAAATGAAAGACGTGAGAAGCATGTAGGAGCAAGCAGAGGCCAACTCCTCACCCATAGACAGCCCAGACCTCTCTCTAGTGCTGCATCTCACTGACTCCTCCCAGCTGCAGTTTGGTGCTTTGTTCCTGATGAAATTCCCACCCTATTGATCCAAAAATGCATTAAGGAAAGAGCTCGGGACAGGTTGAACCAAGCAGAGGCACTCACAAGCCCAGAGGCACTCAGGGAACCCACCACAAGCTCTACTAGAGGTTTTGCCAGCACTGTCTCCTCTGTTCTCTTGCAGTAAGTACATTACAGAGAGGTGATGCTGCAGCAGAATTGCATCCTCAGCTGCAAGTGATGCAGGAGGCTGCTGTTCAGTATCTTTCACCTTTCTGTCACCAGCTCCATCCCTGCCTATTTTACACAGGACGGGTTGCTCAGCTCTGCACTGGTACCTTGCCTTATCTCCCTGCCTGCAGCACAGAGAGCACCACGATGCAATGCTGGATATGCTGCACTTGCTGCAAGCCTTTTGCTTGTTGGAGATACAGAAAGGACAGGCAGGACTCTGCAAGGTGGGCAGCACATGATTAGGATGGAGAAGTAGGTTACAGCAAACCTCCAAAGAGCAAGGTGGCAGGAGAGGCTAAAAGAGGCATTTATGTTCACTGAACAGGATCCCTCTACCCAGCAGAAAAATGCTGGCACAGAGCACCAGCCCTCCGTGACACACAGCTGTCATTGAAGCAGCAAGTGCTGGCACCCAAAGGAACTGCAGCAGGGCAGCAGAGCTACAGGACACAGAGGGTCAGAAGGCTTTGCTGGAGAAGTGAAATCCTGTCAAAGTCCAAAATAAGAAATCACAAGCTGCAAAGGACAGAGGCAGCAGACATCACTCAAGTCCCCTTGTGCATGTACATCAGCTTACAATTCTTAATGATGGGAAACAGATAAAACTGGGACAGGAATACCTTCTTCCCAGAGGAGCATAAATCACAGACGAAGGTCTCTGATGTTGCTGTAATTAGCACTATGGCAAAGCCTATGCAGTAATTAACTTTCTCCCTTCCAAGTTAAGATTTAAAAACATGCAGTAAAATAAGGCCTGGGGTGATAAAACATGCAGGGAAAAAAAAAAAAAAAACACCCTATCAAATTAGGCACTTGTGACTTGATAAGGAATTAATTATACCCGGGTCTAATAATAACAACACACTGCTTTTAATTTGCCCAGTGCTCTAAATGAGGGAGGGTGAGCTGAGAAAAGCTTCTTCCAAAATCCTACGCTGACTCTGAGATTTCTGCCAGCCACAGAGAAGCACAGCAGGATGGGACTGGGCTGATGGCAGCACTGCAACAGGAGAAGCCTGGTGTAGACAAGATGCAGGTGAGTGGAGGGTGACGTGGGAGAACCCAGAGCTGCAGCATCCCCATCTTCAGGTCTCTATCCAGGCACCAAAACCTCTTCTGCTGCAGGACAAAGGCCAGGAGGAGCCCTACTTGGTCTAAGATGAACAAATCCACACTAGAAAGGGAACAAAGAACAACAGACCTCTTTGCATGCGATTTTGACCACTCTTCCCATGCCACAGGGCTTCCTAAATGTGCGTGTTGTAATAAGAGCCAAAATCCAGACCTGAAATCACTACCTGCCACACATAGTCCCTGTGAGGTATGCCACAGCCAGGTGGGTAGGACATATTTTATAACACTATCAATCCACCCCAAGCATATTTGCTTTTTGCCTCAAGTCCTTTTGAAATTATTCCATGTGATATCATCTGCCTCTTGTTACAGCTTGGCATAAGTCAAAGAAATAAGTTACTTGACTACTAGAAAATCTAGCAAGACTGAATTCAGAATTAGTCTTATTAAAGCAAAGAGCAAGTACTGGCAGCATCAGCATTTTCATTTCTTGGTCTCTTTCCTTGCCCTGCCTTTGGCAACGCTCAGGCACTGCCTGTCCTCAGGCATTAGCTCTGTTCAGAGGTCCTGTATGGCCACCACACTTCACATCATTTGGTGAGGCCCTGGAAGTTGGGCTCTGTGCATGGGGGGAGCGCTGCCTGCCGGCTCAGCAGTTTATCCAAGATGTTTATTTCAGCATCTCGTCGCTCAATGTCCTCAAAAGGCGTCCAGGACATGTCGTGCTGGAGCTTATAGGCACCAAGAAACTCATGGGGGCTGGTCCCCCACTCCTGGAAGAGAAAGGACAGATACACATTGCTACTGGGTTTCCCTTGGAGCTACACTGTGCTGATAGTCTCAGCCTCCCTGCCCAGACTGGCGTTCCCCACCACCTTCAAGGCACTCCCAGCTACACAGATGTCCCACTTTCCAACCTAAAAATAAGATTAACTACCCTGAGTCTAAGACCAATCAAGGTACAGTACAGTGCTGCGGACACAGGGAGGTCTGGGGACATAATATCACCCTGCAGAGCTCCTCTACCTTGGCTCATTGCTGTTTACTCTGAAGTCTTTACCCTGTGCATTAGAAAACGGGTTGTCTGCAAGGAAAACACCTCCAATACTAACTCAAGAGGAGAGTCATCACCATTTCCCATAGAAACAAAACACCAAGCTGCAAACCATCTCAACCCCTGGGCTAAAGCACCTGAGAAAACTGCTGCCAACGACCACAGCAGACAGGGAAGGCCCGGGGCACCTCTGCATTTTTCTGCTTTCATAAAAAGAATGGCAGAGACTGAATTGAGGTCTAC